ATACAAATTCGACAAGATGTCCTTCGAATGAGATTGATAGATGCAGAAACTACCCAGCCATTATGCCAGGCTGTGTTTGGCGGGTGCTCCTTTGGCGGCAGGCTACTAGACTCAACATGGAAAAATCGCGGCGGGGTGCGAAATAAGCAACAACCATGTACCACCAGATGTGCCACCAGGGCCGCCCCGAGCCTTCGTGCCTCGCCCCGGCCCTTAGTTAGCCTCTCTTCTTAGTGTAGTTCCATCACCTTGACAGTGGACACGTGTGACAATGATATTGGCAGGCTGGCAAAGGAGAAAACAGACCCATCCCTTATGCGGACGTGAGGTCCTACACAGTGTTTTCTCCCACAGTGTCTATTCGTCACCAAGTCTCGGGGAGAAAAAGAAAGCAAGGGCCCGAGAGGGGGAAACAGAAAAAAAGAAGGCTGGCACCCCTGGCATCTGTCTCATTAATGCTCTCAGGTTCGTATCCGTACACCCCACCGCTAAACAAGCCAACAATCTACAAAGCTGCCTCAAGGATTGGCATATTCTCCCACGTTCACGGGTAGAAAGCATCAAATCTGCAATGAGTGATGTGCTGTTTCAGTCCCTTCAGCTAAATACCAGTGGCGCGGTGACGGCAGGGCGCTGACACACAACCACATCTCCACCACTCAAGCCGATAATAGCTGTCTTTCAGTCACTTCTCAGCTCCCTTGCTTAAGGAGGCCTCGTCATTCAACCAGCATCTGCATGCAAAGATCTTGGTAAGTCTCCGTGGTACCAATCGCGCTGCAGCTGTTTGAGAAATTGAGACTTGGCCGTACGATGCCAAGATCGCCCTCACATTCATTCCTCTCCCCGTGAGTCTAGCTTGTCGTGCATACCATCCAGTCATGACAACGACAAGATGAGAAGATAACTAAAAGAGGGGTTTGTTCAGATAGCGGCGGCCGACTGTACTCAGTGCATCGGAGAGCAAATTACATGTACCGTCAGCGCACAATATAGCACCTGCGACAGCCACCGTGGAAGGAAGTTGGATTTTGATATGTGACACAATTGGCCCGAACTTCTCCAGGCTTTACCTGCAGTAGCTTCGTTCCCACGAGAAAATAAGCATCTTGAACAAGTAGACCTTGCGCTGGGCCAGTGTTGTCTCGTCCGGAGTAATCCGACTTCCTCACTCTCAAGTTGTGTAACGATCCCCTCCTTGCCTGCCGGCCTCTATTCAAATGTGGAAGAAAGCTCACCTCCATAAAGTAATATTCTAAATCGCGGGATTTCCGCTGCCTTTCTTTCTTTCTTTTGGTTTTAGGGGTCATCAGGGGTAAGGCGTACAATGTTGTAAGAACAGGACGATCCTCGCCAGGGCTAACATCATTAAGATTACCTCGCAGAAGCCCCCGTCTGTCACTTGATTTCCTCGGAATGCACCAGCGTGTCCGCTAAGTACGGAGCACTAGTCCATAAGGCTCCCCTCAGAAGACCTGGGCTATGTCAGGAGGAAACATCGAAGTTTCCCGGAACGTTCTGGCTGATGGTCAACTTGGGGAGAAGCTTGGAGAGTTAGGCACCGCCGAGTCTCGAAGTCGCTATGCTCCCATGCCCCCATCGATTTCGGGCCACTTACTTTTACATGATGTCCCAAGTTTGATGTACGGAATAGGGAGCCAGCTATCATGCTTGAGTCCCTCAGGTTTGATACAATTGACACTACCTACTCGAACCCATGCGCTCTCGTGATGAAATTCAGTTCATCTGTATCCGGCCTGCCAGCCGGCCGCCCCAGCCTTGCGATGTCCGCGGATACGCACAGAATACTTGTGAGAGCTGTGAGGATCAACCTCATTCTGACCGCTTATTGTTTCACTGCAAGCCACAAAGCTGGTAGAATAGAGGTCTTTCTTCAGCTGTCGACTCTTGAGACAATCTACTGTTGTGCGACCCCAGCGCCCCTTAATCCTCACTTCGTATCGTTCGGAACCCTCGGCGACACCAGCCACACTACGAGCTCTAGTGGGCGAAGGGTCCTAGACACTATTCTCTACGATGTCCCGGCTCCCGTGCCTGTATGACGTAGGCTCTAGCGCTCCCTGTGGGCGAGGGGGGGGGGTTCTCTATGGTTGAGAAGGAGCAGGTGGGTTCAGACTCGCAGGCCGCAGACTCTCGGACTCTCAAAAGTTACTTGCGGATGTTTTGGGCGGAGTTATATACCTAGGCTATCATGTAGTCTCACACATGCATTGTTGTCTCTTTCTGGCGACTAGGCAGACGCTATCCGTCTGAAATCCAGTGTCTTGAAGCCTCAAGACGAAGGCGTGACAGGGTGTCGGGTAGAGGCCGAACAGCGCTATCGGGTCGCATTGAAGGGAAGTAGGTTTCGTTTCAAGTAAGCTATTCGCCTAGTACCTGTACCATCCACGTCGGAACACATCTAAAGTTGCATGCTGTGGCTGGATGACTCGTCACAGATCAAATCTTGGGCGAGGCAGAGACATGTATGGCAGGATAGCCAGTGGAATGGGTGTCTTAAGATTGTTGGGAATGCTCTAGGAGTGGTTTCTCGACCCAACTTCCGAGTGAGGCCAACGAGGTTCGTCCACTAAAAGAGTATGCTGCTATGATGGGAATACCAGATCCAGGGTTTCGACTGAAGCAGACACAGCTCAGGAGTCGGGGGTCCGCTGTAAACCCTCAAAACAAAATACGGGGGGGCGGGCAATCCTCCAGGCTCCGTGTACTCCATGCTCCATGTACTCCATGAGTCCATATAGCCACTTCGGACCCATCATTGGTGGTCACAGTGACCGACTTCGCGAAGATAATAGCATCGAGCATACTGCCTCGGCCGTAGAAAGATTGAGGCTTAACAGCGGATGGCGCCCCGGTGTGCTTTGTCAAGAACCACGAACAAGTCCTCTTCTTATACAACAGGCATTATCAGTCGAGCCCCCGGTCTCTGGGAACAAACTCAAAAGAGTTCAGTTGGGTTCCCGATGCAGCCCACGAGGCCCCTCTCTCGACTCGCTTGAGTCGTCTTCCCTGTTGCGTGCAAGCGGTCAGACCGTCAGCGGCTTTTGTGGAGGAAAAGACTCTCGATGGGGACAAGAGCCATCCCCCATTCGGGCGTTCGCTTGTCAACGAGTTCACTCTGCGAAGAAAGTCACCGACCCTCAGCAGACGTAGGTTGAAGAGCGGCCCTTTCCCCCCCTGTGGACCCCATATATTTGTATTCGTAACGTGAGACCGAAAATAGCGCCAAGAACGCGCAGTCAGTAAATAAGATACTATGACGGGAGAATGACGATGAGTTCGAGACAGTTACATTGTTCTTTGGTTCCGATTAGTTGTTGTCCCCGAACTTTTCTCCGAGGCCGCGTTCCTGGGTATGCTCACCGTTAAATTGGTAAAATGCCCTGGCTTCGAGGCTTATGTGGTTCACGGAAGTGGTGGGGACTGAAACGACGAGAGGGTTAACACAGATCTTACTATGGAAAATCTGGCTGTGTCTCATTAGTTATCTTGAATCTCAGGAGAGCTCTATCTCTAGTCACCCTCGCAGTCTCAGCCCGACAGACACACCCATACAATATCGACCTCTTCCCGCGCTCCTCAGTCTCAAATCTAGAACCTGTTAGCGCTCAAAAGCATTTTTCTATTTCGTGATAGTGACTTGGCGCGTTACGTGCGTCTCCACATTGCTCTGAGATCCTTCAGCCTTCATTCACGAGCCGAGAGGTCCATCGGACCGGGGAAAGGCGACAGACCAAGACAGACCTTCTCCAGACGGTCTAGACCAGAAGGAGAGTAAGACTTGACGCACAGTGCGTCAAAAAATACTCCCCCATGAGCGACAAGTACCCCTTGACAGCGATCGAGGGCTGGTGGACGGCGGCCCCATGCTCGTCGGACTCCGTCTTCCCTCGGCGAGGGTTCAATTCCAATTCAGCCTGGCTACTTTGTATCATGAGTTGCAGACTCACATGATCAAGAACGTGGTCAAAATCTGCAGTAAAAATTATGTCTCAATTATTCCAGAGATTGTAAACATCCGCACTTCCCCGGAGAGCACCGAGTTGGTTCAGCGCCGGGGTTCAGATTGTTTGCTCCCTGATGTGGAATCAACGGCCGGATGCTGGGTCTGCACCCTGGCATCGCCTTTATGCAGCCTATTCGCCGCAGGATCTCGAATCCTCTACGGACTCAACGCCCACGCACTAAGCCCAATCGCAAGATTAACATACGCACGAGCTCAAAGATGGTCTTGATAGGGCACAGATTTCAGGTAAATCCGGGTCAACTTTGGATTCGTCCATGTACTTTGGCACGTCAGTTGATTCGAAGTCTACGCCTGTGGTGGGCCTAAAGCTCAAAGATAGGGCAGTACGGAGCGCCGCCGGTAATGCTTTCGCGCCGCCCCCGCCAGACACAGGTGAACATACTTGGTCAACTGCTGGATGATATATGACTACAAGCAGGGATGCCGTTGCATTTGGCCCGAAAAAGCCCACAATCCGCAGACAGGAAGAAGAAATGTCTCCCTAAATGCTGGGAAAGACAGAGAGGTGGTGGAATATCATAGTTGGTCTTAAGGATGACGGTGTGATCCATGAAGCGGGGAGCCGCCAAGATGGCACATTATCATTAAAGCGGAATGGGGAGCCGTGTTATCTCACCATACATGTATTCTTCAAAGAAATATAGACTTCGGGCGCTTCAAGACGACATTTTTCATCAGTATCCTGCCTTCGGAGACGCCCACCTGTCCGACCTGTATATCTTCCCAAGCCAATCCTTTTTCAACATTATCCCGAGCAGCATCGAATCACGAGATCTGACAGTTGATTGACGGGTGGGAACACAAGCCAAGTGCGCCTTACCCTTGTCGTCGAATTCTCCCGGTCATTCGATTGAGAAGTCGGTTTGCCTGTGCATCACCGGTTCATGCCACACCCAAGGAAACCAGTTGCTCTTTGCGATAACTGCGGTCACACTCGACTTGATACCAGAAGATGGAGGATTCAGCAGCTCCATGGCCCGAGCACTGTGACCCATTAGTCTTTGTAAGCCATTCCTGACCAGGCTCAATACTTCTCGCAGTAATTGTGCCCATGCTACCTTCCACGTGAAAAGATGGTCTGAGTCAAACGAGAAGGGAGAAGAAAAATGACTAATCAGAATTCAGGACACCAAGACTTTGAACGATGCTGGATACTGTGGTTACTCGGCACCCTATGATGACCAACACAGAGACTCGGCAACTCAGGGCCACTGGCCGTATGCTGGCACTCTTGAAAACCAGAACAGTCCGCAAGGTTTCTACCAAGCCATCAATGGGCTCTACAACCTCGACGTGCCACAAGCTGTCAGCTGGACTGTAGCTCCATCCTCCCTCGATGATGGCTCTACGGGCGGACTAGTTCAACAAGCAAGCACTCTTGCGACTAGAGTCCCATGGCCGGTCTACAACTGCTTCACACAACAAAACAATATTACTCAGCCGCAAGAGAATCAACCCATCAACCGAGTAATCCCTCTTCACGGTCAACCTTTCGGCCACTATGAGCGAACGAATTCTTGGGAGACTGCTGAAGAGCGCGTTCCAACTACGGCGAACCTGCAAATGCCATCTCCGCCGAGATCAACGACTCTATCTTATGGCTCTGCTAGCCCAGAGGATATAGTTTCGCCTCAGGAATCTCTTTTGCTCCAGCGCGGTTTCCTGTCGACAGCCGAGGTTCCTCAGCCAACTTCGACTAAATTGACTTCGCATGTCGTCGTAACTCATCAGAAAGTTGGAAATCATCCTCTGCCTAGTCCGCAAGACGATGGTCGAGACGTTAGCCAACCTTCGCGGTCTCAGAAGCAAGCCAGAAAGCAGTGCCTAGACACCCCGACAAACGAGTCCAGCCCGCTTGAGCCATCGAAACAACAAGGAACCACCCATCGATTCAAATCCCTTGCTGAAGTTTCCTCGAAATCCTCCCTCTACAAGAAGCCAGCGCAACCGTCGACGGAGAGGAGTGGCAATGAGGGAAGTCGAGTGTTGGAATTTGTCCCCCGGCCAAAGGACACCGAGTCAAGAGTCTCCAACCAAGCGCGAGAGCCAAAGTCAGGCAGTCGACGAAAGCGCGTATTGACAGACGAGGACCGTCGTGCTGTGGCAGATACTCGCAAGATTGGTGCCTGTATTCGATGTCGTATGCAACGTCTCAAGGTGAGTTAGCTAAGTTGCGTTCCAAGCTTGGCACCGACTATGACAAAGGTGGGACCCTCGATATTAACTATACTATAGTGCGAAGTTGATACGAAAAATCGCGATGGACCCTGCTTGACGTGTGCGAAAGTCGACTTGAGTTCTTCCAAAGTCATTCACCGCCAGCCCTGCATACGAACCAAACTTGCCGATGTCGTCCTTTACAGTGTCAACTACGCCGGAGTCAACACGAAGCTGGGAGTTCCCGCTAAGATAATCGATGTCGAGAGTTGGGACGACGAAGCTGAACATGACATCCAACTCGTTACACGAGGACTTTGTTCTGTACCGATGAATATCCGAGTTCGCAAGTTCGACAAAAACCTTATGCCAGCAGACCAAATCAACTACTCCTGGATGAACGAAGCGAAGGGCGAAGTTGAAGACACGAAACTCGAACCATACGCTCTGGCCAACGTGAGTTTTTCGAGGGAGCAGCTAGAAAGATACATTGAAGTCAACGCGGTGAAGGGCTGGGAGGAGCAGGCATACCGAGGCGATACCGACCAGCTCATTTCGAAGCACTACAAAGTGGCATTGGAGTACTACAACAAGTGCGATCAACATCCCATTGACCGACGTCTCCTGCTGAACTTGTTCAAATTCTGTTTCGCCCAGCGTAAGTGTTTCTCCACCGTTGAAGCCACGGACTTGGACCAATTGAGTTGTTGTCACGAATGCGGCGTAACATGTTCTAACAAGAGTTGTTTGCCAGGGATTATGACACGCCCTTCATGGATTTACAACAAAGACTCAAAGAGTCAAAATTGCTTAGGCATGTCACCCGTCAAAGACGAATTCCACCCTTTGATCGATAGAATCCCGACCCCGCCAACGATTACCTCGCAACTTCGTTCGATGGCCCAACTACGACTGATCAAGCACCACGAACATATCCTTGAAGACCTTGAGAAACTGTGCTGCAAAAAGATTCGAACATCCTTCTTCACGGTCTATCTAGTGACGTTCATTTTGCTCCACGAGCTTGCTGCAACAACGGAACACTACCGGCAAAGGCCCTTCCTCTGCCCTACGCAAGAGGTATTCCTCGAATAATCATTCAATCTTTAGGCTCTATACTGACAAAGGTCACAGACAGAAAATCATCAAGAGTCTTACCGGCAATATCTCGAGGTTGCGAAAAAGAGCGCCAACATACTTTTGCTTCATTGGCAATACTACCGACGCGCTCCCGAATCCTACTGCGCTGCCGACGACTTTCTCGGAGACCATATTGCCCGATGGTTTTGGACTGGTTTGGAAGACAGTCATGAAGACTTCTGCAGGCAGACATGGAGGGACATGAGAAAAGTCGTGGACGATGGTAAGCAGAGATGGTGTCCAAATTCCTGACTGTTCGGCTTAGCTGACTCTTTAGCAGGCCATTGTAGCAATCACATGTCTCCCGGGAATCCCTTTTACTGGATTTCCCAGATGTTCGATAGCGACTGGAGTCCGAAAAACATATGGGACCGCGTAGATAATATCATCGTCAAGCAGGAACCGTTGACTGAGCCGGCTTTCAAGCCTCGGAAAGCGACGAAACTGCGATGAGTACCTCAGGAACATAGGCGTACTGGTCATTGTTATGCATGGAATACACGAGGAACAACAGGACTAGTCATTTTCGTGGGAGGTTATCTGCATTGGAAGCTATAATGACATGAGTTATGACGACAATGAATAGAATCAAAACACATGTTACCTGCACCTGATGAAGATGGGGGTCCTATATCAGGCTCTGAACCTGAGACAGTGGTGTTGGGCCCTGCAAATGAGGTCTCTTCTTGTCTTGGTCGGTCAGCTTCCCAGGCTACGTAAGATAGACCCCAAGACAAGTGCAGTCAATGTGTGCCACAACTAGATATAATCGAATAAGCGCTTCTGAGGTCGAAGCCATGCTACAGATTCAACATTCCTAAATACAAAAGGATCTCGAACCGTCCTAGCATGCTGCAAAGGCTTCAGCAAAGTCTTCGCTACTTTCGCCTTGCTCTAGCGTGGCACCTGAGGCCTCCATTGATGGTATTACAGATGCCACCGATGACGGCTGACAGCTATTAACATGACAGCTTACCTTTTACTTGGTTGAACCGAATGCCCCCGCTATTCAGGCGGGGCAATTGTCTTCAGGTCTGTCTAGCCATTGATTGACGAGACCACAAGCCATCGACGGACCTTTTGATCTCTGCCGGGGTCAATACGGGACACCTTACATGGCGGAGACTGAGCTCATCAGGAGTCCACTTGTGTACACTACCTATACTATATGACTACTTTGTCACTACATGACTACTCAATTTGTGAAAGTGCCCTCGAGCAGCAAGACATGTGAGCATAATACGTCGCGGTTATGACTGCCATTACCAAAGACAATCGCCACTCCATGGTGAGTAGGTAGCGAAGAGAAAGCTTGACGCGAGAATTATCGACGGGAAATCCACGAAAGCCTCATTCTCATATGGCCATCTACACAATCATGATGCGTCTCACGTGTGTTCGCACACTGACAGGTGTAGTTGCGTCATACGAATGGAAAGGCTGGTCTCTCTCAACTCACTCTTCCAGAACGAAGTACCTTTCTGCAAACATCATCTTGGCCAATAACCATCCCAAAACGACATGGAATGATCCATGCCATTCCAGGTAGCAAAAATGCAAAAGGAATAGCACAACCTAGTTTCGATCCAGGGACCTCTGGGTTATGAGCCCAGCGCTCTACCCCTGAGCTATTGTGCTTGAGGTAACCTCTGTGAATGCAGATGTTGCTTAACCACGATGTTTGGCTATGTGAAGCTCTCGACAAGTGTGAGTCATCGTGGGTGGATTCGCCCACCCCCACCAACCGATTTTGATGGACCGTCGGCGTGTGTTCTTAAGCCGCTGTTTTCCGAGAGCACATCACCTTGGCAACATCACTTATTGGAATAAAGTTGTAAGAGAAGTCAAGTATCTTGCGCAGAATAGACGATATCTTTTTGGTCTAGATTGGGATATCTATGTAGCTAGTGGGCGGGCCAACACGCCTTGGTATATTCGCAGGACATGATATTCATGAAAAATGCACAGACTTCCTTTTCCCCCCAATTCTCTCAACTCGTTCAATTTAGAACAGCCAAGAGAGGAGATTCTTGTAGATCCAACCACCCTTGCCGCCCTTGTCACCGCTGGCCTCCTTCTCGGCAGCCTTGCGAGCCAGGAACTCCTCCTCCTCGCGGTCGATAATGTCCTTTCCGGTGTAGAAGTCGGCCTCGTGGGGCTTGACGCCACGGGTCTTGTAGTAGAACTTGTGACCGAAGATGAGGATGAGGTAGAGGGGAATGCCGAGGTAGCCGGTGATGAAGGTCTTGTACTTCTCCTTGCCAAAGTCGCCGCCGGTGAAGACGTCATAGTTCTTGGTGAGGGCGATGATGATGCACAGGAATAGAGCGCCGTAAGAGCCCCAGATGCCGACGGGGGCAACATAGGGAAGGATCTCGTCGGGGATGTTTTGAGCCTTGCGAGCCCTGCACCACCAGATGTGAGTGACGAGGATGGAGATCCAGGTCAAAAGACCGAAGATGGTGGTGAGGTTGACGAAGTAGCCAAAAATAGCCTTGGAGTCGTTGGAGACGTTCATGAAAGCCAGGAGGGCGAACATGGCGGAGAAACCGAGGGCGTAGATGGGGACACCACGCTTGTCGGTGCGCTTGAAGATGGCAGGGGCAGAACCATCGGAGGCGAGACCGTAGAGGGTACGGGAGGCAATGTAGAGATCCGAGTTGGAGGCGGAGAAGACGAAGATGCAAATGCAAGCGTTGATGATGTGGGGAATGACCTTGACACCAGCGAGCGTGGCAGCGACGACGAAGGGGGAGGCGGAGGCACCGGTCTGGGACTTGTTGGCGAAGGCGAGATCCGGGGAGTTGTAAGGGACGAGCATGCCGATGAGAAGGACACTGAAGCAGTAGAAGAAGAGGATACGGTAAAAGGTGAGCTTGATCGCGCGGGGAATCGTCTTGCGAGGGTTCTGAGCCTCGGCGACGGTGACACCAACAAGCTCAGTACCGAGGTAGGCGAAAGTGGCGTTGACCATGCAGGACCAGAAACCATAGAAGCGGCCGGCATCACCAGTGTCGATGTACTCCCTGAAGGCACTTGAAGTTTGTTAGCCATGAAAATGGGTTGGTCTAAAGGGTGTGTAGAGGAAAACATACCCAGGGTTCTTCCAGTAGCGGAATCCCTTGCGGTCGTGGTCGGGGCCACCGCCAAGAGCCATGACGAGGGAGAAGATGATGATTCCGACGATGGTGACGACCTTGAAACTGGAGAGCCAGAACTCGAACTCGCCAAAGAATCTGATACCGAAGTAGTTGATGCAGACAATGGCGACGAGGAAGATGGCGATGAAGACACCAGGGTTGACCGTTTCGCGGCCTACCCAGAACTGGATAACCAAAGCAGCGGCCGTGAGCTGGTTGGGGGTAACGATGATGTACTTGAACCAATAACTGGAAAGCAAAATCATAGTCAGCACAAGGTCCGGGGAGAGAAGTGAGGTGAGAAAAGCAGGGTTGTTGTGGCTTACGTCCAGCCAAGGGCAAAACCGAGCGAGGGGTCGCAGAATCTCGAGGCGTAACCAGTGAAACCAGCAGAGATGGGCAGCCAAGCAGCCATCTCACCGAGACCAGCCATGACGAGGAAGACGATAAAACCGACGAGAGTGTACGAGATGAAGACGGAGCCGGGGCCGGCTTGGGCGAGAGCCTTGCCGGTTCCGACAATGAGACCGGTACCGATAGCACCACCGATGGCAATCATGGTGATGTGGCGGGCCTTGAGACCACGATGCAGCTTCGTATCCTCGCTGGTCTCGAAACCACGGATGTGGACATTCTCCTTGAGGTTGTCGTCGAAGGTCTGTGTTTGGTAGCCCGTCTTCTCGATGTCGTGGCCGCCGTGGGCGCCCTCCGAAGAGGACGCCCGCTTGACAAGGCCGTCGCTCATTGTTGCTATTTGTGACGACGAGTATCGTACACAAGATGGGAGAGACTCTGCTTCTGGGATTGACCGAAGACAGAAGGAGGGGATTGACAAGAGAGAGCTCTAGGAGCGAGAGGGATGGGAGAGAAGGAAGAGAAAGAACCACGTCGACGTAGGGAGGGGGGTTCGAGGTTCTTTAATTAAGATTTCAGCGCCGGCTCGCGGGACCAGGGACGGAGGCGCGATAGAGAGGCTGCCGCATGTGAGGGAAGGGCAGTAGGTAGCAAGCTCGCATCCCGTTTCGACTGACACCCGGCGGCGCCATACCAGCGGGCGAGGCAAGACAGGCAGATCAGAGCTGTCGCTCACACATACCTACATCCCATGTCGCTGGCAGGTTCGTGGGCTGGACCTGGCCTAGCTTGCTTGGGGGTCTTGATGGAGCCTGCAAGACTGGGGACTGGCGTCGTGCGCTAAGATACACCCGTCAAGGATCCCTGCAGGCGTCGCCGAATGGTAGTCGGAGCTTATGGAGTTCTACGCGGTTGTTTGACTGTTGGTATTACCTTTGGGTGTTGGTCGCACTATCTTTCGGTATCTCTTTTGCGTTGCGTGTACATGCGTGCCCCTTATGGAGACTACGGGGACTAAGGTACCCGCACCGCGTTCGCGGTTCTTCGCAGGCTAGGCCAGGTGATTGTGGAGAGAAAGGTGAGTAAAGGCCGTGTCTCACAGGCGGATTCTCCCATTCTCTGGTGTGTCTCTCTCAGTCAGAACCCAATAGCACCGGCCGGAGGAGGGGACTGGAGGATGAGTGAGGGGAGGGGGATTGTGGTGGAGAAAAAGCCTGTTTACCGGGGTACGAATGGGCCAGGAAACGACAGTAAGACAAGGATAGGCTGATTCTCTGGATGGAGGGGGGGCGTGGCAAGGGTTCACTTGACTTTTTTTCTTGCGCAAAGGAAGCAAAAACGAGGGCAGCACGGGCAGTTGTGGTTTGTAATATCTGTTGGCTGTGATTGGGCACTCGAAAGTTGCGTATCCAACGCCGTTCAGCCTTGGCGGGCATCATCAGTGCAGCAAGATGGATGGGTGGTGGCGGGCAAGTTTGGAGTAGTGACTTGGAGGTGCGGAGGTGAAGGGATAGCTACTTCGTAGAGCTTCATCGGGGGGCCAAGTTGAGATTAGGAGGAGGACGAGAGAGAGAGAAACGGATACTTGGCAGTCAAAGTCGATCCTTAACGCGGAGTATCGTCAACCGCCGAGCATGAGTCGTGAACTCAAGTCAGCTGTGCCTAGAAAGTGCCCAGCTGCCCAGTCCTTCGCGAAGCCAGTTCATGCCAGTCTTACTCGCTGATATGAAGAGTTGGGGAAAGCTTAGACGTGACAAGCAAGGAGGACGAGCCCCGAGGTACCTGACCAAGCGAGACGGACCCTGGCTCGAGATGGGCACGATCGGTGGTACCAAGAAAACACCAAGACAATGGCCGAATGCGCGGGATTCCTTCGACGGCCGGACGCAGCAGGTCGAATTGCCAAATTCCAGTTCGGCCTCATCGCTTGCAAGAATCGATTTCTAGAATAGCGTCCGCAGAGTGAGCAAAGCCGCCAGGTGGTTCCCTCCAACAGCAGCAGGTTTGCTCAAGAGATTTGATCCAGACTGTCGGAATTTTCACCGTAATATTAGTCGTACGGACTACGCGATGATGCTTATCTCTGGGGCAAATTCAGTTTTCCCTCACTGTTCCTCTTTCTCCCGGTTTATCGCGAAGAGCGGGAGATCAACAGGTCTTTCATCATGATCATGTTACAAGTCTGCCGACTGCGAGATAGGTAGCCTGTATCCGTAGGGATTCAGTCCGCCCGGCCACCTGGTACGCCTTTCCTCACCCTACATTTTACACTAGCATCGCGCAAGGCAGAGAGACACAGGCGGCGCGTGTGAATATGCAGACTCCAGCTGTTTCCGTCTCACAGCGTGGGTGTCTCGGACACGGATAAGGCGTACGACACCCAGGCGCGCCAGGACAGGGACCACCACGACCAACACCACCACCACCATCTCTCGTCAAGTCACAGAGAGCCAAGAGATAGAAGGCTCACGCGATGGCCATCTACTCGGGCAATCTGCGGGGGCACCCTCAAGCCACGGATCATACCGTCACGCCAATCACCGCCGATGGCTCGTGCTCAGATAGGCTGTTCGCTCGCTGAATCGATCCGAACTGTGTTGCTGCTGGTGGACGGAGTATTACTTGCTACTGACAGTGGACAGTACTGGGAGAGCCTAGCGGGATTCCTCGAGTCGTCGACCCTGCAAGAGAGTGAACCAGTGTTCACGAGGCACTGATAGATATCGGCGTGGCCGTCTCTGCCCAGTTTCGATGATGTGAATCTACCACTACTGCACGGAAGAATCGACCGTTCGTCGCATCTAGTCGCTTCACTGACATTGACTCACTCTCTGACAGCCCCAGACGACAAGACCAAGTGGTGGCTGCGTCTGCCAAAAGCTTAGGATGCGCGCCACGGCGCTATCTGCCCCGTCGTGCCCGTGTCCAAGAACCGCCAACGGCTTGTCCATCTCTTGAATCTCTTGTTGCTTCTTGGGGTCTCAACCTCCAGCAAAATACCCACCCGTTGCTAAGCAGACAGAATGTGGGTAGAGCCGTTAGAAGACGTTCGTTCCAAAATTCCCAGTCCTTACTCTCATGTACCCTTCAACGATGTGCCCTCCACAAGTCACAACAAGGGACAAATGCCCAGACCAGAGCAGAGTGATGAATACGTACATGTTATGTGAATCTTTTAGGTGTTCAGCTTCACCAGCGGGTCGCCAAATAAGTCTAATCGCGACGCTGACACTAACGCTTATTGATAATATCGTCCGCGTGGGCATTCCATCTTACGTTCTAGAAACGCGCTGCATCTCCCACCCATCCACACGATCCCTCCCAGACCTCTCCCCAACCACCATCTTCCCTGCCGTACTCCCCCCTCCATCGCTTCTCCAGCTGTTGCCTCGTCCACTCAGAGCCTTACTCTATCTCCCCGCCAAGACGTTTATCTCTGGCCCAAATAAGCAGGTCCTTATCTCCTCCACATGGCCCCTGTACTCCTCTTCCCTGCCTCGGGGTGGGAACTGGCCAAAGTTGAGCATGGGTTTGCCCGAGCTTATCCTCGCCCTTGGCTAACTCTGGCTTAGACTACCGATGGGCCACCTCGGATGGCTTGGGACGGTTTGGCCACTTTGCCTTGTAAAGTTGGCTCACGTTCCCGTCTCGCAGTTCTCTGCCATACTACCTAGCACAGCCGCAAAGAAAGAAAAATCTGCCAGCATGTTTTGTTTCTTGGGAGCTGGGACTGAAAGGCCACACGGCCGCATTAGCCCCGCGAGACCCCGTCGCTTTGCTCGGGCACTTGGCCGGATGCAAGTCCCCTGCCCACCCATTTAGTGTGCGTCGTACGAATGGCAGAGCGTCCTCTCCTGCGGGAACCATTCCCAAAGAGTCGGCAGCGCCTCTCCCACATTCCAGCCCAAATGTCCATTCTGCATTTCTCGGGACTCTCTATCTAGTATCTGACTAGCCGGGGCGTCTGGGCTGACTGGGAAAGGTCAGCACATCTTTCAGCTGTATCCGTTAATGAGACTCTGTTTTTGACTTCGACTGAACTGACGGAACTCTGGAATGGCGGCGCCAGGGCAGATTCGATGTTTGACTTCCATTACGCTAATTTGGGACACTCGGCCGGATCGCATACCGAAGATGATCATGTTACTGTTCCCCTCTGATTGACGAAAACAGGCCCAACAGCGCCAGATGCGCCGTTGAACTCAGACATCCACTCACAAAGTGCACAGCCATCCTGGGGGAAGACCCTCAGCCTGTGGTGCTTGGCGATCAGTGCATTTCTGACAGTTTGGGCACCCAGCTTGCAAGCGGACAGACAGTCAACAGTCAACAGACAGTCAGACATCAGCCTGACTGTGGTCTGTTACCGCCGTGATCCATCCCGTCCCCCAAGGTCCCCATCCTCCGCAGACCGCAGGAATACACGAGTCCCCAAGTCCCGGTCCCGGTCCCACGCGTTGGTCGAGAATGCAGGCAGCCGACTCGAGGCCAGTTCGTCGTCATCTAAAAGGACCCAGCTCTTAACCCCCGACGTCTGTCCAGGCACTGCAAGATCTAGGATAGCGAGCGGGACAGAGCAGGGATATTGACTTTGGGATCCGTCGGTGAGCAAGTTGACGGCTATTGAAGTTGTTTCCTCTCCATTGTAGAGGCTACGGAGCAACTTGTGACGAATTCCCTTCCGTCACCGCGAAACGGGGACGCCAACTACCGTCCAACCAGACGGTGCAATTCGGTGCGATGGTCCCCCGGGACGATGTGCGGGCGTCTGATATTGGTATCCTTATTTCCCCTCCTCCTCCCCTCCCCGAGAAAATCGAAACGGCCTCCGCTCCGGCGCTTCGCAGAAAGCACGAAAAGTACTCCGTAAACAAATCGCGCCATTCCCAACGCGCCTTTAACCCGAATATCGTTCCGGATCAGCTTTGCCAAGAGCCCCTAGATGCGGTATTTTCCCCATTACTGCTACAGCGACTCGTATGCCCGCCTGGATTGATATCGTCTCGGCCTTGGCCCGGCTAGGCGCCTCGTACAGTCCCCTAGCCTCTAGGCAAACCAGTCTGCCGGTGGCTTGCTTTAGTGCTCTGTGCCGGAGGCTGCAAAACACAAGTTGAAGCCGCACTAGACTCTCTGAGGATTCGCAACGGCGAGAAGACCGCAGAGTTGCTGAAGACTCGAGTTCCTTTATCAATGTGTTCATTGTAGTCAATTGTTTGCAAGCACAGAATCGCTATACAGAACCTGGCATAATCGACGACGATGTAGCTGTTGCATCGCAGTCGAATCGATCGTCGATGCAGTCTCCTCTGCAACCTGGAAGAATCGCGAGTCTCGGGATGCTACCCTGCCCTTCCCCTGCCAATGTATCTACGGCTACTCACGGCCGACGCTTCTAAGTTTTCCTCAGTGCCTGAAGATGCTAGGTATCCCCTTCACTGGCGTCTTCTATGCATTTTTCAGCGTTTCTACGACTGCCATCGCCGAGAGATTAGTTGTTTTTCCCTTGGCACACCTTCGCAAAGCTCCAAGGCATGGGAGAAGAAGTCCTCCAAAATCAATCTCTGTGCGGAGGACCACTTTTCCCCGGCTCTTCCACCTGCTCCCTCTCGAATCAGTGATACCTCGGATTCACCCCAGATCAGACTAGCCAGGGCAGCGAAGGTGCAATATGGAAATTCCCATGTGCGTTCGGTAATTCCAGGCCTTCTACAGGTATTCAATAGCTCTTGGAAAAAGCTTGGGACGAACGCACAGTTGGGGAAGAGGAAGCGATGGGGTAATGGATTGGTACTATGAGATAAATTTCTCGTAAGAGGTTTGCATTCTAGCGGAACCTCTTAAACGCCATTCATCTCTTCCGCAGACACTTTGGCCGCCCAACAATCAGACCAATTGTGCCATCTGAATATGAGAGATTCCATTACGTGAATTGACGGGGAGATTCGTGATTCTGTCTCTTGGCTGTCTTGATTAACCTGGGGTATGGGGTATGGGGGGGTTCAGAGGACGAGCGTGGGGCCGAGGCTCCGATTCCTGATTCCTGACTCTTGACTCCTGAGAACAGTTTGACGGATGCTGCGCAGAGCAGGCAGGTTTTGCAGTCTTCGCTAATCGAGACACGGAGGCTCACTTGTGTTCCGTAGCTAACGAATACTGCCCGACCCCAGAATTGAAGTTGACCACAAGATGCGGTCATAGGAATTCAGCCTCGGCCGCTGCTGCCTTGCCGTAAAGGAGGCTGAAAACGCCAGCTCAAGTCAGCCTAGATGTCTTGGCTGCAACGCCCAACGGGCACGTTGCTGAGCATAAGGTTTGTTAGCGGCATGCAGGATAGGTACGGCATTCTCGAGGGCCTCCTCGCTCCCACGGCCAGCTCCGTTGCCGATCAGCTGATGAAGATTAGTTACCGCTACTCAAGCCGAAGAAGACATCTCAGCTCTTCAGTATTGTAAGCATTAAGGTGGTCCGGCGGCTCCCGTAAACTCCTGGCAGGTGCTTGGCCTGACGTGACCGCCTAGGCCGGATCCAATCACAATGCTTTCGACTCAGCCTCAGAAGCGTAGTATGCCCAGACTAGGTAGATCCGCAGACTGTTGGACTATGGACGGTCAATGTTTGCATGTCGCAATCGTCTGGGACGTGGAGAACGGTTGGAAGGTCTCGCATCGAGCAGGGAGTATCATGTCACGGCAGATAATTATCCTACCGCTATTGTTACATGTGATACAACGTAATATGATTCTATTGTCGTGACCTAAGCCTCAGCCTCTATCCCGAAGCTAGCCAGTGTACAGCATGCCAGCAACGCTCGCAGACGTGAGGGTTGAAAGTACGCCGGCAAACAAGGCAGACAGGGCAACTCGTGATACATCACCAGCGCGTCCGGGAGCAATCTGCGAGAGAACACCGATCTGAGTGCCGAGAGAACCAATGTTGCCGAAGCCCTGTTGGTTTTTAGTCAGTTTTTTGTTACGTGTAGGGTGACGACTCTATCAAGAGTGGTACTTACGCAGCAGGCATAGGTTGCAATGAGTCTGGAGCGAGGAGACATGGAGACGTAGGGCTCAACCTTGCTTGACAGAGAGTTGAAAGCAACGTATTCGTTGGTAATGATCTTGATTCCAATGAGCTCTCCCACGGTGAGCAGATCCTTGTTGGGCACTCCCAGACACCAAGCAACAGGGTAAAAGACGTAGCCCAGAATAAGCTGAAGGGTCAATGGCGGGTCATCGATGCCCAGAAACTTGCCGAACCAGCCGAGAATGCCGTTGATGAGGGCGACGAAGGAGATGATGCAGAGAAGGGTGGCGACAATCATGCCAGCCACCTTGATGCCGAACCAAGCTCCGTTGGCAAAGGCGTGGATGGCGTTGGCGGCCTTCTCTTCATCCTCCGGCACCGTGATACTACCGCGAGTGATGCTTTCCTCCGTCTCTGGGTAGCGGAGCTTCGACACTGCAATACTCGCCGGAATTGACATGACGCATGACGAAACGAGGACTTGGGCATCGAGGCCGAGGCCGATGTAACCAACAAGCACTGATCCCGCGATAGTCGCAAAGCCACAGGTCATGACCTGATGAATCTCTGCCAGTGTGAGGTACGGCACGAAGGGCTTGATCAGCATTGCCGATTCACCTTGCCCGACAAAGGGGGTTGCCGTCGCCACCACGGCTTCGGCGCCTGAGACGCGGAGGGACCAGAAGAAGAAGACAGCAAACTTCTTGATGAACCATTGCAGGAACCCGCAGTGATAGAGCAATTGAACGAGCGAGATGAAGAAAATGATGGCCGGGATCACAGAAATGAGGAACCAGGTCAGAGCAGATACTTCAGTCGCCGTCAAGAACTCGAGACCCTCTTTTGCGAAACCCAGAAGCGTCCGGGCCATCTCGGAGATGAAGGCAAAGATGTCGTAGCCGACGCCCGTCTTGAGCACGAAGACAGCGATGATAAACTGCGTGAGCATCCCGCCGATGACGGTATGCCAGGGAATCTTCCTCCAGTCGCGGGAGGTGAGAGTGAGAAGACCAATCATGAGAAGCAGGCCAAACAGACTGATGGCGCGGCTGGCACGAGTGTTCTCGCCGACTTCCTCCGGGACCATTGAACCGACCAGGAACACTCCGATGGTGAGGAGCGCGGCAAGAGGCTGGTGCAGCTTGCTGGGGATCATATCGTACGCTCTGCCGACGGTGTGCTTCCAGACGAAACGCAACGGTACCATGACGGCAGCGGCAGGGAGCCACAGGGTGACGATGCGTATGGTGATGGCGAGATAGACCAGGAATGACTTCAACCAGCCCATCTTATCGCGCTGAAAGACGAGGCCGACGATCCACCATCTGTCCGGGTATTTCGGTCAACCGATGCCACCAAAGGGGGCATCTGAGAGCATGAGAGAGGTTCTCAACTTACGCCGTGAACAACATCCATACAAACACGTGGATCGGAAGCCTGAACTTCCTGTAGAACCGGGCCACTTTCGCTCCCTTGCCCTTGGAATCTCTCATCGAGTCGGTCTGGTTGGTGCCGATCTCCAAGTCGCTCGCGTCGACGACTTCTTCTCTGTCGCGTGACGACTTGCCCGTCTCGTCGCCCTTGGGCGGGAGAGAACGAGGAGTATCCACATCCACCTCGCCGGGCCCGATCTCGTTCTCGGGCCTTCCTCCGTGCTTCTCGGACTTCATGTCGTCGCCAGACATGTCCTCGCCCGGCGCTGCTGCAGTAGTAGGACGCATGGTTCGCTTTTGGCTTGTGTGCCGTGCCGTCCACTACAGCACGGGAATATGACGAAGTAAGGGAGGTTGAACAGGACGAGCTTTTCAGGGACTGGAGCCCCGTCCAAGAAAAAATTTGGCGAGTTGTGGAGAGGAATTAGCGGAGCCGGGAGGCGACGTCTTGACCGTGTGGTGATCCAGTGGGAGATGGGACGATGATGCTGGGAGGGGGGAGGTCAGTGCGAGCTTTGCTTGCTGCGCCCACCGGACGATATCAATTGATATCAATGAAGGTGTTGGCACACTTTTGGGAAGAAATGTAATAAGAGGGCAACCAACATTGGATGAGACAGGAAGCTTAATGCGGCCTGATAATGAGAGCTTCTCCGGTTGCCCCAGCTAAGAGCTTCGCGAGTGATCGACGATGTTGCACTGTGGCGGGACGGCGGCGAGTTGCATGTGCACATCGCCTGACAGCGCGTTCGGGTTTGTCGAGTCGGCCCTTTCTCCGTGTTCCCACTTCGATCCCTTGGCTTTCTTGGGATTCACTTCAGCGCCACTCAAACTCATCCTTGGGAGCTGCGGCGACCTCCGTGGGAGTGCATCGAGGGGCTCCGGCTATCATACCAATAGTTTACCGACAACAACACGTGGCACCGTGTGTAACCGGTGATTCTCATTACCTTCAAGAAACTCCCGTTGCGGGGAAGCTGGTGCTGGCGTCTTTCTCCATGAAATTGGTTCAATGGAGGCTAGGGTGAGGAAAATATCGAGCTATTGATTAGAGCTAGATGATGACGTCAATGTCTTAGTGAAATCGATGATGTCAAATGTGAAAATAAGGTGCGGCTTAGATCTTGGGACGAACTGATAGGTTGATCGATCTGTTGACACTTCGCAGACTGAGTCAAGGCATTTCTGCGAGTGAAGAAAGTCTTGTAGAACTCTTCCATGTTGTCATGCGAGCTGTGATCATCTACTGGCACTGAGGTTACGTGAGATGCGGCCTTCAGACTGAGACTCTCGAAAAGTTGGCCAGCGGCTCTGCTATGTCCACTATGAAGACTGAGAGTGGACTGCAATTCCCAATGCCGATGGAAATAGAGTTTCGGGTTCCTGAACGGCACAGGCACATCGCCATCTCGGACAACCCGGCTGGTGTTGAGGGGCGGTCTCGATGAACATCGCGCTCCTCGGCTTTCATGAAAGCTCAAGATCATCACGGGATTCACAGAAACGCTAGTGATGTACAATATCTTGATGTCTTTCTCTCAAAGGCCTGGCTGTTGACAGTCGAGGCGCTGGTGACCGAGCCGGTGCGATTTCCGCACCTCCGCCCCGGTAGAATTAAAGGTTAATAACTACAATTGCAAGAAATTTTCCTCTGAAAAGGAGCAATCACTGCTAGTACCCTGCGAAGTCACCAATCTCGACGTTGGGCGTGATGTATGGCTGGATCTTGTCCCTCGTCTTGGTCCTCTGCTCATAGGCATACGCCAGGCTAATGAGCTTTGCCTCGGAGAACTTTGCACCGAGGAAGCTGATACCAAATCTACGAGCAGTCAGTATTCGACATCAAGCAATTAGACGTACAGTCTACTTACGGGACATGAGGACCAGTGTCGACGAGGTTACCTCTCCTGTTCTTGATCACTGTGGCATTTGCGGGATAGAAACCCAGGGGAACTGTAACCACAGGTGCCCCGACGATGGCAGCCCAGGTGCTGGAAAAGCTGGTCGGCAGGATGACGGCGTCGAGATCATGTCGCTCTAGTGTTCCGAACAGTCCGCCCTCGCCGCCGAGAAATGCGCTCTCTTGCCACGCGGCCCAGAATCGCGGGTCGGTGTTGTTGAACCCTTGCTCGTCGAGAGCCTCATCCCAAACACCCGTGTTACGATCAGGATAGTCCTCAAGGTCAAAGGATTGCGTGAACTCGCGGACGTCGGCCAAAGACTTGACATTGTTCGGGTTGACTGTAAGCTCGGCGAGATAGGATGCCAAGTTCGAGATGAAGTCTGCATTTAGAACGATGGTCTCAGAGTTGGATGTTGCCAACTGCTCCGCAGCGGTGAAGTTGGCATTGTCGACAATGACGGCACCAGCAGACTTGAAGACCTCGAGAGTCTCCTCAAACGCATCGGTTTCGGTGCCCGTGGTATTGTCGGAGAAGAGCTCGATGGCGTTGCGAGGAATGCCGATCCGAGCGCCACGGAGACCATACATGTCGCAAGCGGCCGGGTAGTCTGGGATCTCGCCATTATTGGGGATGGCTGAAGTGTAGTTGTCGTTGGGGTCTGCGCCGGCGATAGCGTGTAGGATATACGCGGCATCCTTCACGGTCCGGGCCATAGGGCCGATGGTGTCTTGATGCTCACTGATGGGAATTACGAGGTGACGGGATGTTAGGCCAACGGTTGGCTTGATACCGACCAGGTTATTTCGCTGAGAGGGTGATACAATCGAACCATCGGTCTGTCGAGCGTTAGCAAGGACGGTCTAGTCAACATGAAGCTGTGTCATATACCTCGGTGCCCAAGGCAGCAAGTGCGAGGCCAAGATCTGAGGCCACACCACTACCACTGGAGCTCCCACTCGGATCTTGCTGAGGATAGTAAGCAGCGTATACCTGACCTCCGTACGCAGACCATCCGTTGCTCGTGTTGTTGCTCCTGAAGTTGGCCCACTGACTGAGGTTGGTCTTGCCGAGAATGATCGCGCCGGCATCTCGCAGCTTCTTCGCCATGAAGCTATCTTGGGGAACTTTGGCACCCAGTAACACCCACGAACCAGCAGTGTTGTTCATCTGGTCGGCAGTCGCGATGTTGTTCTTGATGAGGATTGGAATGCCGTGGAGCGGACCCTTGATTGTGCCATTGGCGCGCGACGAGTCCAGATCGGCGGCAATAGAGAGAGCATCTGGGTTCAACTCAGTCACGACATTGAGCGCGCTGTTCACTTGGTTGATGCGACCGAGATAGGCGTTGACAAGGTCAACGCTCGTGAAGAGGCCGTTTTCAAGACCCTCGGCCAATTCGTCGAGAGTCACATCTATCAGGCCGGGAAACGGAATACCCTTGACTACAAGTCAAGTCAGTTGATAGATTAGAGTATAGCGAACTGTGTTGAGCTCACTCGTCGTAAGGCATGTCGCGATGCCGAAGATCCTCAGCCAGATCAGGGCCAGAATTATCATTGGGCGGTGGGAAGCCATAATGCGGAACTGAGCGAGAACAAGTCTCGCGAAGATTGGATCTCAAGTGGTCGACTTGATTACGAAGCATCTCCAAGATTATCCCAACTCGGGGTTGCTTTCATTATAAACCAGCCTGTCGTCATTATAAACCAGCCTGTCGAAGCCAAGATATCTCTGCGTGCATGCTTAGCTTGATGCAGAGGTGCATCGCGTAGAGTAGTCTGCCGGCACGGCCCCGGAGGCCGGCGAGAGTTGATAAGGAACGCCCGGGATCGCGTAGCTTTAGTCAACGCGGAATAATGGCGTATTCAGCCAAGAGAGGCAGCTCATTTTGATAAGAACCCGGGAGCCAAAAGTCATGACGTGTAGGATTGGGGGTATGGAACGTTTTCTCCCCCTTGTACGCAGTGTTAGTCATATCGGCAGACGTAGAAACCCCTCATTTTATTGACAAGGCATTCGCTTAAGACAATGTACCGCAAAATGAAGTGATCAAACTACGGCAGCACGAGATGTTGCACAAAGCGGCTGGCGATGCAGCCACAAAGCCGGTGAAAAGTGAGGGGCACGGAGGATCCTACGGAAGCACCAGAGAAGGGGGGAGAGGCGCGGGGAACAGGTGCCGGTCCACCGGGGGCCCGCGGGGGAAAACCCGCTGCCCTGGCGGGGGACAGATGTTGTACGTACCTCTATCAGCTGCCCCACCTTTCTCCGGTTTACCTCAGCAACAGGCCGGTTGATCTTCGGCCATACTTTCTGATCCCGAATTAATACCGGTCTAAAGTTCACCCGCCCGGACCGACCGGACATCGTGCTGGCTTATGTAAGTCGCGCCAGCCCTCCTTCAATGCTCGGACGCGCCCTCGGTCCCCGAACCCCCCTCCATGAGTCTCCATGAGGCCATCAACACGACTCGGACGGCCCTGACTTTGACCAAGCATTCGTCACCTCATCTCTCCAACCTCTCGTAATATCCCGATCGAGCCTGTTCCGTAATCCCAAGGCATGTGGTCCACGCATCGTATATCCAGATTCTGACGTCCTGGCTCGCAGCTCCGGTCTTGAAAGTTTATCTTTGCCTGTCTATCCATACCGCCTACTTAGTCAAGAGATTTAAGAGTCAAGACTGCAGGATAACACCTTCTAGAGTTCTGGCCAAGACTGAAAGAGACCAACAATAGGACTGTGCCAAGAGCTCTTTGCAACAGCTCTTCTGCAGGTTCTGCAGCATCATCACAGAAGGGAACCTGCGCCACACAGAGTCTCATGGCATCGGTTCCTGCACGTTACGAGTCTCAAAGATCTGCAAAAAGATCGCCTACGCAAAAAGCTTCTTTTATAGCGCGAATCCGAGGAAACATCAAGGTTGATTTTCCGCCGTTCGAGAGACCAGGCCGCGTTTGCCAAGTTGACACTGCCGAGGCGTACATCAACTGCATAATATACGCAGCAGACTAAGTAACCTTGCCTACGGCAGCGGCGGAATCTCACCCAACGGACCACCAAGGAAACGATACGAAAATCACAAGGCAAACGTTGTGGAACTGCCATTGGCCGAGCCATCGTACCTGCATATCCGCCTCAACAACGTCTTGTCTTCTGATACGCCACCTAAGCATGATTCAGTCTGGTCTCTTCAGATGATGATAGCCCTGACTTTTGAATGAGTAACCAGCCCGTTGAGCCCGCCCCGTGAACAATTGCCTTGGTTTCCACGACTATCCAGCATGCCCTATAGAATGAGAGACGCATGAAACGATACCTGTGGGACGTCGATCCTTGTGGATAACTCCCGACTCTCTGGGAGATCACCGCCGGGCAAGCAGGCAGCTTGGCACGGAAACTTGGCAGCCCATCTCGCCCGCCATTTCATGCACCAGATTCGTCCACCACGCATATCCACTGGCGGCTGGTCGCCGCTGAACGTCCGTGAGCGACTTCCGCTTTGCCGTCTAAACTGTCAACATTCCTTCGCATGAAGATGTGTAGAGCACCCGATCTTGTCATCTGAGTGTGCCTTGGTGCACCACGGTTCGCTACGAGATGCTCTTTACCACTGCCGTCTGGAGGGATTCTCCGTCGTTCTCCACGCCAGCTGTCAGGACGTTTCGCTGACATCCAGATGGGAGAGCACCAGTCTTGGCGTACCCAAGCAACATATGATATCAACGACGATATGATAATCGACGTCGGTTTTGCCTATGTGGCTCGTGATGCAAGATTACATCGTGTTGCGTTTGCTGAAAACTTTGCTGCAGAGCCGCGGGCTAGTCTAACTATGCTGACCTTAATTCTCACTTTTCCCCCTTCTCTCCACAATGTGGATTCTTGGATGAAGAACCAGACCAAGGAGAGAATTACGTTTTTCTCAGGCATGGACTGAGAAGTTGAGTTTCTCGGCAGGCGACGATTTACTTCCCAGCCTGCATGCAAACCAACCACGGGCCACGCACTACATCGTCAGGCTTTCAAAACACTTTCGAAATGAAGCTAACACAAACTCGCTGAACTATCGTCAGAATCCAGGGAATCGCAAGAGGCAAGGTTCCCGAAGCTTCCAGCCTGCATTCGGGCGAAGTCGAACCGCCAGTGTGGTCGCGAGGAGATGACAGCCACCCCCTGGCTTCACCTACCCTACCCTCTCGAACCTTTGGCGCCATAGGTAAGCTTAAGACAAGGACTCCGCTTGCCGAGAAGGCGGAAGGGCAGAGGAGTAGTCCAGGTCAACATCTAGGACACACCATCCTAAGAGGGGACTGAAACCAATCGACATCGGACGAGTTGGTCTATCTCGCGTCTTCCTGCAGAATTCTGCCCAAGACTTACATCAGACGAGGAGAGCCTCCACCCACGAAACGCCGCAGCGAAACGTCTCTTCATCTAAGAAAGTTAGAAGAATTAGCGACGCAGGGAGATGCCTCCCACCCCGAGAGAACTCAGGGCGAGCCAGATGCAGGGTAGTATCCTCCACCACCGCCGATCCGGCTCTATGCGGTGCGTGGCTTTCATGGGGTCGGGCACTTCGAGCCGTAAACTCTAGATGCTGTCGACCTGGAGATGCTGTTGCTAGTTTCAGGCACTCGCGAGTCGCCCTTTCCGTGAATGTTAATCTGAAGTCGCGGCCAATGGATCGGCGGGCCACCTTTACGGCTGGCAGAATGGACGCCATTCCAAGGTTTGGACGAGCATTGCACATCCCTGGGCTCTAGCCAGAATGGACACTCACTTCTTGTTGACTACACGGAGTATTAAAGAAGTCATCGATCGCCAACTTCTTGGTTTGGAAGGCCAGGCAGGCTCCTCAGTTTACGCCGACACCCTAACGGCAACCTCAGATACGAGTACTCCCCTCCTATCAAGCACCAAGCTTGTCTTGGTCAAAACCTCCTCCAATCATTTGTTGAGCAAATACCACACCACTCACTATAATGAGATACTTCACGCCAGCCCTCCTGCTCGCCTCGGCCCTCCTCGTCGGCATCAACGGTGCCCCGGCGGGGACAGATGTTGTCCAACGGGACTTGGGGTACGCTGATATTCGTCCATTAAACTGACCTCAAAGAACTAACAAGATATAGCGAGTTGGGCGCTCAGGCCGACGTGCCTCAGATTAATGCCCCCGTTGCTGTCGCCGCTGTTGAACAGCCCGAGACCGCGCTAGCCGCTGGTCCCGACGAGCCTCAAATCAAGGAGCGCCAGATTCTCAAGCAATTCGCTAAGCTCCTCGGCAAGAAAAAGAAGAAGAAGGCCAAGGCGGGAAAGGCCAAGGCGGGAAAGGCCACGGCGGGAAAGGCAAAGGCGGGAAAGGCAAAGGCGAAAGCGAAGGTCAACACTCCACCTCCGGCCAAGGTGCCGCCGCCCAACCCGCCCGCCGCCGTCCCGCCTCCCGCCGCCAAACCTCCCGCCGGCGCGCCCAAACCACCTGCTGCGAATCCGAAGAAGGCCGGCGCCGCCGCTGGAGCCGGAGCTGCTGCAGCTGGAGGAAATGCAGCTGTTGCTGCCAAAGGTAATCCAAACCAAGGTGCTAAACCCGTCCCACCTGCTCCTGTTCCCGCTGGCGCAATTGCGGCCGGCTCAAAACCCAAGCCTCTGGCTGGAGGTACGCCCAAGGCGGGCGGTAACACAAACACAAACAACCCGAAGGATCCAGCCCCTGCCCCCGCTGGAGCTCTCATGGCTGGTGCTCTCGCCGGAGGTGCAACAAACGGGAATAAGCCTGGCGCTGCTCCTCAGACACCTCCCAAGCCGCAAGCACCTCCTCCACAGCCTCAGACGCCTCAGAATCCCCCTGCACCGCAGACACCACAGAACCCTCCAAAGCCCCAAGCACCGCCCCCTAAGCCTGCTGGAAGTGGTGGTTTACCCCTTGCTGTTCCTGGTAGGAATTCTGTATGAGAGCTTGTGTTGACGAAATGGTTTTTGCGCAGTTTGAGTCAGCAATCGTTCGGAGATAGCGAACACACGAGACAATTCAATCGACAGACACTCATTTTCTCATGCCTCGTGGGTAACCTAAAACTCCATAATTCAATAACTCTATTCGGTGGAACATATTGGTGAGGAAGTCGTGGGCATGTCACTCGGTGAGACTACAAAGGCTTTGGCTTGGCTCGGGAACCCGAGTGTGTGTACATAGGGATGACAAAGATACGAATGACGACTGGACAACAAGTCGGATTCTATACCGAGAGTGCTCCAAACGTGACAGGCATTATCCTCCCTTGGCTCTGTGCGGTGCCTGGTGAGTTGCTTCTAGCCGAAGTTTAACGTCCTGATGCAAAGTTACGGCCATTAGTAGTTTCAGCTCGCCAATAAAGCACGGCTACAAAGTTTATTCATGACGCAGGCGTGTCGACTGCGAAGATAATGCCCAAAGTGAACCTCGCAATGGCGAGTGCGTAAGAAACAGTCCAGAGTGGTGCCTTTTAGTCTTCCGAGACTGTTTGAGATGGTCACGCTCGATCCTGGAGCGTGGGCAGCATCTCTGCTTGATAACCATTGCTTTCGTATCATCCATATCGTGGCTAAACTCGTAGGTTGTCCCAGCTAGCCCTGATTTAAAGCAAGCGGAAAAGCAATCTTATCGGGAAAGACGTGATGAATCTGAGGTCAGTGGGCAGAAACTTCAATCGGCGGTTTAAGAAGTCTTCGGAGATTCGAGATGTTCGGAGATCTGCTACTTTCATCACGCATTATGGTGGTGTCTACACTTCTTATGGAACATGTTACCAAGTTTAAAGCTTTAAGGCAGGGTAGAAGTGAAATCAAAGTGGCAGTTGGATTCACTTGCTCCAGGGAATCTCATCCATGTGAAGACATGACGCTAATCGATGTTTATCAAGAGATGGACCTCCGGCAGAAGGTTTCCCAATTTACATTCAACGAGATAGCCACTGCTCCCCGAGAAGGTTTGATACAGTTGAGTGATACTTCGTGGATTAATATGAGATTACCACATGCCATTTCAATTATGATCCCGAATCTTCTGGGCCCTGTGGTCAAAGTCGAAGGCGATGTAGCACTAATGTCGACCAATGTGCCACGTTGAGAAGGGTGCGAATTGAAGAAACCGAAATGAACTTGATGAGAGCAAATCAGGCAATATTTTGTAGACTGTTGGATGGTGAGGTTATACAGAAATGCAGGGATGTGACATGTTTCCTGAGCACCACCACGCAAACCGCTTGCAATCTAGCAAACGCGCGTTTTCAGAGTCAAGGGCGGTTACCTGACCAGTATCACCAGAGATAGGAAGGCTACCAAGGCACGTAGGGTGTATCTTGTGGGTTCGGTGTCAGGCAAACAGCAATGACATCCCAGGTGGCGTTACTTCGTCAAAGTCCTTGACATCACTAAGTCAAGTAAGGTAGTTACGCAAACAGTCTGGAGGTTTTGCAAGGGCAAATGTCCAGTTTTCATGATTGTGGAACTTCACAAATACTTTGTGTTGATACCTGTAGCTCTCTACTGCAGCTTTCAACACACCACGTGAGGCATAAATGCTACATGTGTACTTCCGGGACTGCGAGCTCTCTGGTAGCCATGAGCCGGCAGCTAGAAAACATTATTGGTTAAGGGGAATTTTGAAACGATCGCTTTCTTATTCGACGACCTTCAAGAGCGATCTAGGAAAGTACAAGTGGGCAATATATGAGTCCCTCATGGCCTACTTAGTCCGACCTGGGTTACCTGATGGTGATCAGAAATTCCACTATGGGGAGCCCAAACGCTTAAAACACAACAAATGAGGGGCGACTCACCTTGCCATAAAACACATGAATGAGTCTTAAGATCACGGACCTACCCTACGGTCAAAATCTGGTGATGTGTCGTGAAACCTCCCAGAGAAAAGAATCCCTCTTGCCACCCCTTGCCGCATATGACGTGTCAGTATTCTCATTTCTGAGAATCTCTGGCTCAAAATTTTCAAGCCCGTGCATGGTTGAAAGAAAGATCATTACATCCAGATGGTCTACTGGGATGTATAAGAAGATGGTAGTCCTTCCATCGATTATGGGAGAACCCCAGAACCCAGATGCAGGTTAGTTCTCAACACGAAAGGCAGTCTCGGTCTTTAGGAGTTCCCCATCGAGAAGCTTCGCATTTTGTGTCTTTCACCCACTGCTAGAAGTCTTTGAGCTGTGCGACTTTCTGCCTCACTGTCTCGAGCGTCTCCACGATGCTTCCACCCGGCAGCCCAGGGCGCAAGATCCTCGGATTTCTTTTTGGCATCAACGACAGGATCTATAATTTGATGTGGTCGCATGATAAAGGAATACCAACGGAGCATGTCGACTACACTCTGGTCACGATGATGCTTGGCGATGAAAGCGGAGCCGGCGGCCTTCAGCCTCAGATGGAACTCTACGACGATCTCGGGGCCATGATTGGACATCGCATGACGAAGGACAGCGACCGGATCGAAAAGAACAACAACCTCGATGATTCCATTTACAAAATCGAACACAACGTGCACGTCGACAAGATGACAACGCCAAAGTACATCGTCATCAACCAGTGGAGTTCCGATGCCGTCTGCATCTCGGCGATCCAGGTGTCAAACGGGAAGCTCTCCTCCGTCTTTTATGGTGATCTTGGGGCACTTTGTGGGCAGAGCTGGTTTTTCAGCCGGCGTCGACTTGATGCAAAACTCATGCATCCCAAGTGCGTCTGGCTAGATGAGGACCATACCGCCGGCTTCAATGCGCGAGCCATGAGCTTTCATCTTAACGACATGCTTGGAACACCAGACAAGGTCAAGATGTACAGGGAGAACCCTAAGGAATACTTGTGTAAAAGTGCCCCTCGTTTCTCGTTCTGGTACCAAATTCGCCCAGGGGCAAAGCTGCCTCTCTTCAGCCCTCCTCTGGAGTACGAGCGAGACGCAATCACTGGACAAGAAGGCCGGGACAAGGACCCAGCCCGCGCAATCGACAAAGTGAAGTGGGACAAGATGGCCGACCACGACCCTAGGCCCATCACTAGGCGCTCTTTGACGGCGTCTAAACGAAGAGACAAGAGAGAGAAGCTGGCCAAGAGACAAGGCACAAACCCTGACATTACCCATCTCATCGTCACCCGCGCCGAAGAACATGCAGCATCGTTGGTTTGCAACAGCACAACGTCTTATGGACATGATGTGGTTTCCCTTCACGAGAAGACGTTTTGCGATATGACTGTCAAGAGACTCTACGATCTTTGCGGTGGCTCTTTCAAAGAGAACTGTTTTGACGTTGAACGGAGAATTCTAATAGGTCACGGCGGAATCAACGCTCGTGGCGAAGTATCCGCTGTTGGTATTCCTCAGAAGCGGTATCTTACATCAGCCCAATGGGAAGAATAAGATATCGTTGCTTGGGAACGAGAAATCTTCAGAGCCTTATGCAGATAATTGTACCAGTACCTTGAGGCCGTTGAGTCAGCATGTGTCCTCGAAAATGTTGCTGAAGGTCTCGGGTTTACAGTCGATCTCCAAGATGGCTGCACATTCGCGTCAGCGATGGAACATAATCTTTGTTTGATTCTGCTTCACTTGATAATTCAAGATTATACCCTGACGATGGGTCTTTGCTCTAATAAATACTCAGGCTAAGTGGGATCATCACGAAAGCTAGACTATGCAAGCTGGCTGACCAGGGATACCACTATCCTTGGCTACTAAGCTAGCTGCAAACATGACCCAGTAGGCCACATCGCATGAGAAAATGGTCCGTATTCTAGTGAGAATGCAACATTGAGACTTTGAAAGGCTAATGATGTATCTATAGTGCTTCTAGGAGGAGGTAGACTTGCCAACTGCAGTAAATCTAGATCTCGAGAGCCCAGAATCATCTTAGGAAGGCACCGCCTACAAGTAGATACAACTAATAAGTCGAAGTTTATCCTCTGGAAATTATGAAAAAATCTTCATTATTACGCGATACTATTTACCAAGAAGGCAGTCCCTGGCAACTCCGCATCACCATCTCAATTGTGCTTCCCATGACTAAAAGAAAGGTGATCGTATACCCTCAGTGGTACCCGGTCATGCTTAATATTGTTAATCTACCTTTACTACCTTAATATGAATTCTGGAAATAGAGCATGAAGACGAGAAAGTCATATTACCCCCATGGTGGTGAGTGGTTTGCGCCTCGACAGTGTCAACAACTCCCATCCTGAACCCCCTCCCAACCTCAAACCACCACATACGACCATACCCATTGGAAAATTCGGGATCCCGTCCGCTCTCCCATAGACAAGCCAATGAGGGCCGGATTAGTAGTTGGGTCGGTGACGACCAGCGAATACCTGGTGTTGTATGTTTTGGGTGACTTCCACTTTTGCCATCTCACGATAGTTGTGGTGGGCCTTTGTGATGGAGTACCTTTTTTGACCAGTGCGCCCCGCTCCCTCCTCTTCGACAAGAGAGCCCTTGTTAAGTTACTAGTTATTGATTAGACTTGAATTTTGTATAATTCATTCCTCTTTGGCTAGGGAACATATTTCTTCTGCATTGAGACGAAGTTCACACTCTTGCTACTTAGCCCCCGCCGGCGTGTGATGGAAGTGGCTCAGGGTCTCAGGGTTCCAGGCCCCAGCTATGTTACCTGATTGAATCTTTAAGTAGGCATTTAGCATGGAATGACTGAAGAGATTTGTTCAGTGCTACAGCTCATGGTCTTCATTGATCTCATTAGCTATGTGCCATATGTGGACTGATATACTGATACGGTAACTAGTAAAACACTAATTACCCTTGAGAATTTGACAGAAGCTTCTCCAGTCTACGTCGAGCATTCAATCAAGTCTTGTGTAAATGAGGATCAGTTCAATTGATTTGGTTCAGAGTCATCCTGATGTCTACGCATGGTTGCTGATGTCCCCATCATCCAAACTGTACGAATGCTCGAACGTTCCTGACGTTTTTAACCCATGAAAAGCACGCGTCGAGTTTTACTCTTTCGCACACATGAGGAGGCTCTTTCCAAAAAAAAATACATCGTAGAATAATCATCGAGACTTTATACAACTAGTGGCATTGTGTCGCAAAAACGACGCCGTTAATTACGGGCAGCAATTAACGCCATATACCCTACGACACATTGTTTATCCGCCATCGTGGAGGCTGTGGTTCAACCAACAAGCAAGGATCCCCTAGTTCGACAGGCACGGCCCGAGGGCCCGCTCCCACGGGATCTCCATTCTATCACCGCGAACTCTCGAGAAACGATTGTGAATTAGGTAGTAGATGTGAGCCGGGTAAACTATGTAAGTTCTACTTGATAGCAAACTCTCGATCATCCACGAACTGATGATCTTCATTCCAGCTTTCTTGGCTTTTGCTTGGCGCTTGAGAATGACTATTGACTTGCATCTTGACTTGCCTCTGCCAAAATGACAGGCAACCGCATCGCCGCCCGATTCCCCGCGTCAGGGAAACCGCAAGCACTAGCCAGTTTCCCCATTACTTTGACGTGAGCTGTCTAATCCATCAAACTGTGCATGTACCATTGGGCAATGGGCCGAGAACCCACGTGAAGACGGGCTCTAGTATCTGGATGCCGACTCGTGGCGCAATGCTCTACTCCATTCGGAAAGCAATGCGGCGTCTTGGGCATGAAGTACGGACCACCGAAGCTAGGCGTTCGAGTACCATATAAACCCCCAACTGGGATGCACGCTGTACGTCTCCAGGTTTCAGAAGAAACACCAGACGACTTGCAAACAGGAAAGCTCGTCTTGGAGGAACTCTGTCTTCTCGGGCAACGAGAGGGATCGACCCTCAATTAGAGTTGAAGGAAAGGCTATCCCGGGCAAGATGGCCATCTCTGAGAACGATTGGTGGCAATTGAGTGCGGTAAAATGATGATGACCAGTCAAGAGGCGGAAGTCTCGCCCCGTCAAACGGCGAATTCTCAAAGTTAGGTTGCTTGTGGATCGAGGAGTTCGTAATTCTGTTCAACAAAGGCGTACTGCATTCCCCTGACTTGAAGGACTGATTACTGGAGATCATGTTACGTGTTCATGTTCATATTGGCTGCATGTACTCACCGTGATAGACGAAGGCCGCTCTCTCGTATGCTCGTGCTAATAAAATCGCTCCCGGGCTGCTCATGCTTCGTGTATGTCTAGAATGCCTCGCTCAAAAATGCAAGTTCATGTCCCTCATGATGGTCTGCCGATCAAAGATGAAAAAAAGAAAAAAAAGCGCTAGGCTTTCTGTCGATCTGGATGATCTTGTACACCCACTTTTGACCTTCTCTTTTCTCTTTGAGCCCGCCACTTGGGCCCCCAAAATTGATTGACAACCTGAATAGGCGACACAGCTATGACCGCCATCCCGAGAACCAGGAAAGCCGTGCCAGGGCCAACAGCGTTAAGCATCTGCTCTGCAAATGCTACGCCGAGAGCTGCCAACCCGCAGCGGACCACGTTGTTGATGGCTGTAGCACTCGCGCCTTCACCGGGACAGAGATCCGAAATGATGGTCTGGTTGAGCGCGAATATGGCGTTCGCCGAGGCGGCAATGAGAAATTGCATTGTCAAGGGCAACGCAATCCATCCGGGTCGGGATGTTGCCGTTGGATACGCCAGAGAAAACCCGTAGCCGACGATGGAGGCGACGAATAGGGTGACTATCCACGGCAGACGTCTCAGACGGGCTTGCTCTAAAGGGAAATCTGGTGCAATGTCTTTGGGCGACAGTTCCTCGTCGTAGGGGATGTTGTGGGTTTCCTTGTACTTGGCCTCAACGGCCTTGTAGTCCCGAGTCAGGAGTTTGCCCGCAAACACGGAGCCGACAATGGTCCCAATTCCTACCCACACAAGTCAGACACGTCCGGACAAGTCCGCATCCATCGGAGTTCACAGTATCCAATCAGGGTTGGTGTTTCAGAAGGAAGGGCTTTTACTGACCGTTGGGTAAGAATGCCACACCAAGAAGGAGTTCGTTCAGTCCGAACCGCTCCTTGAAGAGTGGAGTTGTGCTAGTCGTGACCATGTTCCAGATGGCATAGATCACACCACCCCAGACGAGGTTGATAACCAAGTCCTTCTCTTTGAAAAGCCTGAATGGCCTCAAGAAGGTCCAAATGGTAATCTTTCGGTTCAAAGGCCCATCTGGATCTTCCATGTACTTGGGCTCCTTCGTCACATATCTGTAGAGCGGCTTGTAGATGATGCCGTTCAGACGGAGGGATCCGTTGCCGGCTATAGTTCTCAAAGTCTCTGGCAAAAACACCATGATAGTGATGAGAATAAGCGACGAGGCAATAAGCAAAAAGACAAACACGGATCGAAAGCCCAAGGAGTTGGCAAGGGCGCCGCCCAATACCGGTCCGATTGCCGTGCTGAAGTTCCTAACTGCAAAGTGTTAGATGCCGTTCAAGACCCCGACGGAGAAAAGCACGACTCACTGGCTTGATAGAAGCTGATGTATGCACCCCTTTCGGCCGTCGGAGAGATATCCTGGATGACACCATTACCTGTCGCACCCGTTAGCTGCTAACTCTGGAAGTTGAAGAGATAGTCGGGACGAAAATACCCACCGATGCTGACAGTGGAAGCACTTCCTGCGGCTTGGAGACCCCGGAAAATAAGCAAAACAGCGTAGTTTGGCGAAAAGCTCAACGCAACGTTTGCGCTAATGTAGACTCCCATGGAGGCGATGTAAGTCGGTCGCCGGCCGAGCGCGTCAGACATGGGGCCCCATAGTAGTGGTGTAACGGCTTGCATGATCAAGTAAGACGTGATTGTAAGTGACACTTGTGATGCACTAACCATCAACTCCTGGTCGTTATGTTAGCATCTGCCGCGCGCGTAAGTTACTTCAGAAGATTGAAGAGAAATATTCACATACCCTTGATATTGCATCCAAGGAGGGGTTGTAGATATTGGACGACAAGCCGGAGAAAAGACCAGCAGAAGCAATGATGATGAGAATGGACCACTTCTGCCTCTTGGGGAAGACTGAGAACGGTTCATCATTGTCGTCATTGTCGTTGTCTTGCTGGTCTCCCACTTCGTTGGAGTCATCGAAGGGGTTCCGGTCTTGGCCTCCTCGCCCCTCATCGTACTGATTATACTGAGCGTCTTCAAACGACTTGCTGCGGAGCTCTCCAGTACTGCCGTCCTTCTGCCAAGTCCTCTTCCGGATGGGCGGCGGTCTCAGCGGCAGAATGTTACGGCCGCGCGGGGTTCCTAGTCGGATGCTGGTGCCGGCCCGAGATAACCGAGTGGGAAAGGCCTTTTCGTCATGATATCGGTCCGGCATGTACTCGTAGTCATGAGCGAGAAAGTTGTACGCTGCAGCTGATGCAGCAGTCAGACTTCCGAGCAGTCCCATCCTCAAGTCGGGTCGCGGCGGCTGCGGCTGTAGCCGATTGAGATTCATAGCTTATTTTGACTCTGGATCCCTTTTCTATTTTGTCGGTTCAAAATGAAAAGAAACTATGGAAGACCAGATCTTGGTCCCGTGAACCAATTCTACACTCGGTTATCTCATGCATATAAAGAACAACACTGGTCCAATCCACCGGCTGGCCTGGAAGCCCAATACAGCTTTCACCGCCACGCTGTGACGCAGCCAGCTGCTATTCATCATCGTCCTGACGTCAATTTGAGATCGCGAACACGGCTGAAAGAGCTAAATCGTATTTAGATAATCAGGTCGAGAAAGAAACCTTCAGGTTAATGAGAGGAACAGGTTCACCCTCGTACGAGATGGTCCGGGGATGCCTGCGACTCGCCGCACGGCCGGCCACACCCAAATGCATGGGAAGCGCAAGGAGGCTCAAGAGGTTACAGAAAGTGGTTTCGCAAAACACTGAGGCCGTTGGACGTCCCATCTTCTAGACCACTTCTGCCTCCTTTGTGAAACACCGAGGCTGCTTCGACGCAGCGTCGCAGTCGCTGCCCACAACGAGCCTACGCATAGAAGTCCTTGGCTCTCCGACCCTACACCCTCCTTCTCCTCTCAACACAAACAGTAGAGGAACTCTAAGAGTAGAGGAACTCTAAGAGTAGAGGAACTCTAAGAGTAGAGAAAACAAACCGGAGAAGAGAAAAGAAGAGGGTGGGGGGGCGCACGTTCAACCAATGGGCCAAAGCCGGGCCCAATTGATCACCTTCTTTTCCTCTTGTCTTCGGCAACCATGTAATGACACCCAATTCCCATCATGTCTAGCCGTCAGTCGGAAACTTGACGCCCACTTGCCCCTTTGGGATACATCTCAACCCCGTAGACCAGCGCGAAAGGGCCCGAGTGGTGGCGCCTCGGCCTTGAAAGTTTGACACGAGCCAGAAGTCAAATGATGGATGGAACTAGCAGAGACTGACAGAATGGACGAGCACAAGGCCTGAATAAGAAGTGCATGGGTTCCACCTCGCTCACAACCCTGGCCACTGCCTATCTAGCATCACAGGACCCTTCCTCTCGGTTATTCACTACCGGACTAGCACGACAAGCGCATCTGCGATACGCTTGGCATTGCCTCACGACCTCTCGGCTCGTCTACCGAATTGGAGATGTTTTAGACCGTGAACCAACGTACCGATCGAAGCAGAAGTTCTACGAACCACATCAGCAATAACATCATCGGCGTGGAGGGTGAAGCAAGTGATGGATATGGGAAATCGCAACGTCGCCAAGCGCGATGAGGAAGAGGAGGAGATTCGAGATGTCCGCCGACAGATGCAAGATGCCGAAGCAGCAAACGCTCAAGCTGTCGCCGCCGCTGCAGCAAAGAAAGCTGGAGCACCGAACGCCAACGCGCTGCCTCTCGACCCGAACCAGCTTCTCTCAGTTCTCGGCCTCCTCAGCGGCCAACCTCAAGCCACGCCAGCAGCACCTGGACAGCCCGGAGCCACGGGATTGCCTCCGAACAATAACGCCAACGTACCGACAGTTACCATCTTCGTGACGGTGACGCCTCCGGCCGCGACACAGACTGTGATGATCATGGTCCCGACAACAGTCACGGTGACTGCGACACCGGTAGCGCCGCCCCCGGTCAATCAGCCTCCCCCGCCACCACCGGCCCCGCCAGTCCAGACATCACCACCGCCGCCAGCGCCGCCGATGAGTACTCCGCCGCGTCCTCCTCCACCAGCCAGTGGGCTCACTATGCCTCTTGTTGGAGCCAGCCCATTCCCGATGCCGCCTCCCCCGGCGTCGGCGTCTGCCCCCATGTCTTCAGCATCATCAACGGGTACTCCCAAGGGAGCGGGCGGTACTCCCACGGCTGTTGTGTTATTAGGTGTCTTTGGAGGTGTTGGTAAGTCATTCGTCGAGACTCGTTCGATGAGTTGTTAGCTAACAGAGAGTCCAGCTGGTGTGTCACTCCTGGCAATGGGAGCGTTTGTCTATGGCTTGATGAGAAGAAGAAAGAACAAGACTGAAGCAGAGGTAAGCACCTGATGTGGTGTAGATCCTAGGCAGGCGCTGACGAGTTATCAGACTGCGAGCGTTCAGAGCATGCAGATTGGAAGGCCTATGCCCTCCTGAGTTCTTCAACAGAATCAGTGAAGCATGGTGTTGTAGACTTTCCCCAGATTATTGGCGGTGTCATCACGACAACTTCATGGTCTAGAGTTGATGGTAAAACCCGGACATATCCAAACACCTCAAAAGGGCATTTCTTTTCGGTTACCTTGGGAGGGGAAGAAGGCGAGGTTTCCGTCTGACTTCCGCTCTTATCATTCTAGTTATTTCATGTAAGATCAGAAGCGTTGGAATTTTCTTGGAATACAACTACTGTCTATTGTTTAATATTATACACACAAAGCCTGTTCCTCGTAATCATGATGAAAAGAGACACTCACTGCATGATCATGCTGTTGGCTGAGCCAAGCCATCCCAGACCTCTTTCAACCATTCGGCGACCTTTGCGGCTATGATCTCACTATTCTTTTCCGTGGTGCAGAACGCGTGAGGAAGCCCGGTGTCGTCAATCTCAACCCTCGCCCAACCGTTCTCGATATGCTTCTCTCGGGCTCTAATGAAGTGGTCCCGGAAATGGTCCCCAACCCAATGGTCCTTTTTCGCGAAGAAGAAGAAGAACCTAGGAGCCGCTCTCTTGACGTTCCCCACATCGTCCTCTTCGACCTCCCAGAGTTCCTTATCCCACTTCTCCTCGGTAATAACTTTCATCTCATCCTTGCCCATGTGAATCGCTTGCCATACTCCATCCCGACTTTTCAAGAAACTAGTAGTGACATCTGCTGCCTTGGGGCCGAAGCCCAGGATATTGCCAACGAACCACCTTAGCGCTACCGCCGGCCAAAGGTTCAGAAACTTTTGGGCGACGATGTGTGCGGTGTTGTTGAGAAATGGCGTCGTGCGGATGAGTTCCATTTGCTTCCCGCTCGGCGACTGAGAAATATGTGTGACGGTGGGAAAGAGCAGCATGCCCGTGAGAAGCTTGAGATGCGGGGCTCGCGAGGGATCCTTTAGGTGCCGGTGGAAGATTTCCAGGGCAATGTAGCTACCGACAGAGTGGCCCGCGATAACGACAAAGTCATATGGCTCGCCTTTCTTGCCCGGTGCATTGCGCGAGGAGTCTGTCCGCCGCAACGATGCCAAATGGTCAAAAACAAGCTCAATCTGATGTTCCACATCATACGGCGGACTGTCTTTGCTGAATGGCTCGTGGCTGTCATCTCTAAACCCAAAGAGATCGCGGCCGTGAACGTGAATGTGGCCGTCGGCCCAGCCGATACGGGCCTTTAGCGCATCGAAGAAGTCGGTGTAGTAATCGACGAGTCCTGGGTTGCCGGGAATGAAGAAGAAGAGGCCGTGTCCCGCCGCCATTGTCTGTGTCTGTTGGTGTTGGTATGAGTCTCTTCTTGCGCTTTGGTGAAGCCGTCTTGCAACATAGCACGGCCCGCACAGATTCTGTCGGCTCTGTGCCGAGATTTGACGTCGTCTGATGTTAAGAGGTCCGGCAAAGAGAGGCGGAACTTTAGAAAGGAGGTCGAAGGACGGAAGATCCACCTCGGCAATGAATCGCGAAATTGGCGGGCGGATTCCTACGCATTGCATTAGTGTCGGAGATAATGTTCCGTCGGCGTTTACCTGATGGTACGTACCTTGGTTCTGGTGATGGTTTCATTTCGCCGAGCGCTAGTTACGTGACGATACAGGACATACATCATACTTTTTGGGCCATAGTCACTCATTCATCATTGTTATATACATATATGGAGGAGACCAATCAGTTGATTTCAAGCGATGGTCAGCGAAAGTTAAGAGATCAAATCAACAATCTGAAAGGTGTGCTTCTCCTGAGTCCTGCGTGTGTTCATGTAAATAAGTCTCTAAATCTGTCCACGTCGTGTATCATTTTCCAACATACACATTTACTGTGCTACCTTCCATCAGCCAAATCAGAACTTGAAACGGAAACTAGGATGCATCCACCCAAGTCTAAATTCATGCTCTTCTGCAGATAGGCCGTCCCTTTGACTCTCTTCTAGTCGGAAGTCACGCTCTCCTCGCGCGCGTTTCTTGTTCTCTCGTTTCATGTACAGGGGCAAAACGATTCCAATCACCAACAACCCAACTAGACAGCCAAAGTTGATGAAGTGCCCTTTGAGATATCTAAGAAATCAGAGTCAGTGAGGTTAAACGCGCAAGACTTTCATCGGAGCGACATACCTGGGTTGTTCATTGCTGATGTAAGTAAAGGAGGCGAGAAAAGCAGCTGAGTTCCCAATTGAAAGCAAGAAGCCCAGTGCTACAGCGCGAACAAAATGCGGAGATGCGTTGATGCTCATCCAAGTGAGTGCCAGCGGGGGTGTTGCGTTGACCGACATGGCAACGAAGAACGAGCCGGCATACTGAATCTTGATGTTCATGAATGTTGGTGCCGGACCGACATGAGCCCCGATGATCATCAGGATGTATCCAAATATACCAGTCATACTGCAGAAATTCAAGGGCAGTGCGGTCTTTCCAGACCGACGACTCCAGAATGATATGCCAATGGTGAAGATCAAGGCCGCAAAGTTCGGCGGAGCCGTCATCAGTGATGCTTGCAGCCTTTTGTATCCCATGGCAGTTATGATGGTGGGGAAGAACATGGAAAAGCTGTAAATAGCCTGAATGGAGCAGAAGCTGCCGAGGGCCATCAAAATGGTGACGACGTTGCCAATCGCGCCGAGAACGGTTTTCCAGGTGAGAGGATCCTTCTTGTTCTGGAGCCTCAACCTGTCACTCACTTGATCTTCCCCTGCTGATTCTTGGTCCGACAAGCGAGGGTTGCCGAGATAGTGCCATCGATCTTGACAATGCATCCTCTGAACAGCGAGAGTTTTCTCGGTCGATGACAGGAATTTGGCGTCAGCGGGGGTGTGTGGCAGCACGAGTAGCAGCAGAAGACCAAGTAAGACGGTCAAGGACCCTTCAATGAAGAAGATCCACGGCCACCCGTCGTAGCCGTGGACCTTGATCTGCCCAAGCCCAGCAGCCATCAGGCCACCAAGGAACCCAGCTAGGGCGGTGCTCGAGTAGAACAAGCCCACACGAAGGATGAGCTCGTCGGCAGTGTAGAAGAAGCCGAGGTAGATCAAGACCCCGCCGAGAAACGAGCTTTCGGTCAAGCCAAGAAAAGCGCGTGTGATGCAGAGGCCGACAAAATTGGTGATGAAGCCGCTGAGAGTGGTGACTATTCCCCATGAGATGATCAAGGCTGGCAGCCAAATCGCGCCTCCGACACGGCGCACGGCTAGGTTTCCTGGAATGTTGAACAAGATGTTGAGGATGAAGAACATAGCTAGAGCCGTGTTGAATTGGTTGCCTTTCAGCTTTAGATCTTGTTCGAGTCCATTGATGCGAGCGAGAGCGATATTGCTCTTGTCGAGAAAGAAGAGCAGATGGGCTAGGAACATGGCAGGCACCAGCCTGTTATCGAACTTGCGGACAAGGCTTGATCGAATCTTTTCATTCTCTCCAGCTGTCCTTGGGGTAATCGAGTCGGTATTGGTGTCGCTTGTTCTTTGTCCCATAGCATCACCGTACTTCTCCTCGTACGAAGCTGAAGCATCAAGGCCAGCTCCACCTGTGTTGTCACCTCTGTTCAATTCATTGTGTGTTGGCGAAGATTTTTTGTGATTGGAGACTCCAGGAACTTCCGCCATCTTGCAGAGAATTATGTACGTGAAGAGATGAATCGATTGAGAGATAGCTCATAATCTGAGATGTATGCTAGTGACAAGTCTAGAAACTTGAGCTTGAGCGATGCCACGCCCTTGATAATGAATGGGGAAGAGCGTTCCGAGGTTGGTGTCACAACTCACCCGAAGGGAAAGATTGATCGGAATGTGCCACTGGCGCTCCTTTTCATCGACGCGGGAGGAGGACCAACAGCATTGGCATCTCAACTCAACCAACCGGGTCTGTTGGTCGCCGCCGCGATTCTTCCATCATTGTCTAGACACGACCAACCACATGGTCCGTATCACCTACTTGGCGCATCTAGGCACCAGGGATAAAGTAAACGCCTTTATTTTTCGATCTGCTTGAACAAGGGAGGAATCGAAGCAAGTTCGATTGTTACAACAGCAAACACGCAGGCACCCCTACCCCTGCCTGCGTCCCCCTGTTAATCACGGTATCGTCTCTGCGATCTGTATAGCTTAAACACTGTGACACAGTACGATAAAGACACCAATAGAAATGGCTCTATCTCGCCATGTTGCAATCCTCAGTTGGTCAACATACGGCTGGATGCATGTCCGAGGCGCTGCAGTGATGGAGAGCCAATATTTGTACGACATGCTGGGGGCCACAATCGGTTCACTGCCTCAGCTGGTGTAACACATCTTTTTGATTAGCGGTTGACAAGTTGACTAACCCAGGTCTCTCATAAGATACGAAATAAATGATGTGCAAATGAAGTGATTATCGAATTTGCGAGAAATTTGTTGATGACCGCTGGTATTATTAGGCGATACTGGAAGATTTCCACATCTGGCGCAGGCTGGGCGTTGTGAACTCAGGCAAGTGACTTTCTTGTCTGTGATGCATCTTCATTTCCCATTAAGTTTGTTGTTGGGATGTATGTAACTTGCTCCAATGATTCACCGCTGTTCTTACAGCGCGCCCGAGACGTATTCTTTGTTGGTGCCACAGAAGACAGACATCTCAACTTGGCACGACCCCCCGTTGGTCAGTCTCTTGGGACCCCGGCACGAAAATCAATATTTTGAAAACAAGATCCAAGACTGTCTCTTCTTCACGAAAGCTTCTAGGCTTTTCTGAAATGCAAGATGGGCGCTCGGCACCCGTGATGGCTTGATCGGAAGCGAGGTAGACTTTGGCCTAGAAATTGAGTTGAGAAACGTTGCACAGTGAGATCTTGGTCCCGCGATCATGGGAATTGTCTCGAAACCTGGATCGTCTTTGTTCTCGAACGATTGCGAGAACAATCGCATGAGACCAGATATCGTAATAGGAAGACACATTGGCATTAGATCATCACTTGGGCCCAATGCGAAGCACTCAGGGGTTAGCAATGACAACTTAGAGTGTTGGATTATGTTGGTATTCCTTTCACAGGGAAGTTGGTTCGAACCGTAGGGTCCTGGGGGTGACGAAGTATCAATATCTCTGTATTGATTGATTCTGCGTAAGGAGTAGAAGGGAGATTCCAACCGGAGGTTCAACCGGAGGTTGGGTGGGTAGTCGAGGTCTAATTGTACTCCCTCGAGGTGGCCCATGCTCTGCCCTTACTCGCGGCCGAATTGGGCTTCCAATCCGACAGATTTAGTATGAAGCCTTGCAGAATTGCCGTCTTATGCTAAGGAAAGCCGGCAGTGACTCTGATACACCGGTCTCTAGGTTTTCTTACAATTCTTATAGGTCATACAAGTACTGATTCAATACGAACCACTTTAGGTTACATGTAGTATTGTTTACTTTAACTTCCACGCGGTCAATCGAAACTCCTATCTTATCACCATATTCGTCGTCACTCTCATCGATTTTGCTGTACAAATCTTACATAAATGCTCTACGTTGCACACTAAGATATAATCTTTAGATTATTAGGTTCTATGATCTCGCTCAAACTTTCGGAGCTTTGTTGGTTGGAATGGGTGTAAACGTTTCGCTTTCGCATCACGACGCGGTAACCTGCCTCTTCCTCGGTGACTCGGCCCAGTGGAGCAAATCCGATCGCCTTTCTAACCTTACCTAAGACTGGGCCGAGTCAACATGACTGGGTGTTGTTTGACCGAACCAACGAATCATCAACGAGAAAAACCGCCTCCTCGCCTGGTCTACGTGTGTTAGTCAGGAATGTTTCCGACCGATACTCCGCTAGCGCTCCGCGTCTTACTCCGAGAAAGGAACCTTGGAACCCCAGATGCTCCGGATAATCGTCGGTGGAAGCTCGCCGTCGAATTCACCCCGCCCAGTTCTCGGGCATTGAAGCGAAGTCACCAGACCGCCAGGTTCGATGATCTTGTTATTATCGTGGCAGTCGTTCTGCCTTCTTAACTTCATCTCTGTGTTCTGCCATTGTTACCTTTCCCAAAGCTCGATTCCTTTGAAGACAGGTTTCAGTAGGCTTGGTTGCGCTGGTGACTGACCAACACCCTTCAACATGTCACAAACCGCCACCGAGGCGCGATCCGACGCGCTGCATCAAAAAACCTTCACTTTGGAGCCCTACGAACTCGGCCGTCTGAGTTCAAGCGGTCGGGCACTCGGCAACGCCTCACCGAAGAAGGATGGTCCCGAAGAACATCAATCGTCAGACGTGCCCGACGACAGCCCCCCGCCGAATGCTCATGGAGCTATCGAACGATGGAACTCGCCAAGGGGCAACATGGGAAGACTGGGCTTCGCTTTCTTTTCGTTTGCCATTGCCGGTATGAACGACGCAGCAGTCGGTGTGAGTAAACGTCGATATGTCAACGATTTGCAAACAGGCACTAACATCCCATAGGCTCTGATTCCCTACGTAGGTTTGCTCCTCTTTCGTTTTGATGTTCAGGAACTCGCATTGGACTTGTCATTCTTACTCTTCCACAGCTTGAAACTTACTACGAACTCAGCTATACCGTCGTCTCGCTGATCTTCCTGACTCCATTTGCCGGTTACTCGGTCGCGGCCTTCACCAACGCCAGGATCCACCAAAAATTTGGCCAGAGAGGCGTGGCTATCATGGCCCCTCTGTGTCACATCATCACATACATCGTCCTGGCCTTACATCCTCCATACCCAGCACTCATTGTGGCCAACACGATCAGTGGTTTTGGCAACGGACTGACGGATGCGTGCTTCTGCGCTTGGGTTGGCGCCATGGATAAGGCAAACACAATTCAGGGGTTCCTGCACTCTTTCTATTCCGTAGGAGCTTTGATTTCTCCGTTGATCGCTACTTCAATGGTTGTCACTGCCAAGCTGCCTTGGTACAACTACTACTATGTCATGGTAAGTCCAGTAGCAATTCGCCGTGCCTGTGGTCATGCTAACGATTCGCAGGTCGGTGCATCTGTTCTTGAACTCGTCGGCCTCACCGTCGCCTTCTGGCAAAAGACCGGCGCCGTGTACCGCGCCGAGCATGCGCACGAGAACGATGGCAATGGAGGCGCCGGCACTAGAGTTGCACTTAAATCCAAAGTCACCTGGCTTTGCTCTGTGTTCTTTTTCGCGTACATGGGTGTCGAAGGTGGGATCCCCCGTCTGCGTCGCATTCACTGTTGCTAACTCGGGTTCTCAGTTGGTCTCGGAGGCTGGATCGTCACGTTCATGTTACGCGTCCGAAAAGCATCCGCCTACGCATCTGGTATTTCTGCGACCGGCTTCTGGGCGGGCCAAGCCCTGGGACGCGCTACTTTGGGGTTTGTGACAGAGCGGTACGGGGAAAGGCTATGCATTAGCATCTACATCGCCATCTGCCTCGCTCTTCAACTCCTCTTCTGGCTCGTCCCGCAGTTCATCGTTTCGGCTATTGCTGTGGCTTTCCTTGGGTTCTTTCTCGGGCCGATGTTCCCTGGAGCTGTCATGATGACAGCCAAGCTGCTTCCGAAGCACATCCACGTAAGCGCTATTGGCTTTGCGATGGCTATTGGAGGTACCGGCGGAACGGTCTTCCCGTTCATCATCGGCGCGATTGCGACGAGCAAGGGTGTTGCTGTACTCCAACCGATCATCTTGTCGCTTATCGCAGTTGTGGCTATCGTGTGGCTTTGCTTCCCCCGCATCAAGAAGCGGGACGAAAATGTGGTATCGGATCTATGAGAGAAAAGTTGAAGTTATAGCAGGACGCTCGCTTTGATGGTACAATTTCTCGTGCAGTTTTTTGCCTGATTATAGATGAACCTCACATGGGTAGACGGAAGATAGAGATGATCGTTCGTTTCACTAGAAATGGGAGTCAGGTTGGGAGAAAGAATATTGTTCAGTTTACTGAGTAAACGGCAGATTTATATACAATGCCTCCAAATAATCCAGCTCTGGCAAACAGTTTGACCCCGTATGTGCACAAAAGTGGCGGATATCGCCAGACCATCGGCGTAACTCATATATACTGAGTCAAGTATGTACAAAGAAATATCGGTTCATCCCTCCATGATTAAGACATCCAAACTGGCTGATAAACCAGCTTACAACTTCTGGCCAGCGGCGCCGGGAACGGAACCGGCGACCTTGCCGGAGCCGAGGGCGGCAATCTTGTAGGGCAGCGAGGCAGAGGTGAGAGTTCCCTTGGGGACAGAGTTCTTCGAGCCACCGAGGTCGACATCCTCAGCGACGGCGTAGCCGGTCTCCTTAGAGTCGGCGAAGAAGATGGCCTCAGCGGGGCAGCTGTTGAACGCGGTGCTCTGGACAAGGACCTGAGCGCCCATGCGGGAGTTGATGCCGGTGAGCAGGAGCTTGTCGTAGTAGGAGTTGACGACGTGGACGGTACCGAAGCGGACGAGGGGAGTGCGGGAGTTAATGTTGGTCCAGTGGTTGTTGGCGTAGGTGACGTGGAGCTTGCCCTTGTCCTCGCTGCCGTTACTGTCAGAGTGACCGACCAGGGATCCCTTCCACTATTGTTGATGATGTTAGTCTAGAACTTGTTGAGGAGTATGAGATAGAAGCTAGGAGACACTTACGTGGTCGTGGAAGTAGACGTTGGAGACCGTGATCCAGTCAGCGCCGTGGGAGATATCGAGAAGGCCATCAAGGTCATCCTTGCCTCCGCTCAGGTCACCGGAAAGGTCGCAATGGTCAACCCAAACGTTGGTAGACTCATCAATGCCAATGGCATCGCCATTGGTGGCCTTGACACCGCCGATCTTTAGGTTGCGGATGATGACGTTCTTGACCTGGCGGACGTACAGGCCGACGTTGGTGAGAGCTGCAAGGGTATTGATGTTAGGACAACAGCGCTTCGGAGACAGTGACCAGGTTCTCGAGGATACTTACAGCTACCCTTCTCTCCAATGATGGTCTTGTCAGAAGAGACGCGGACCTTGGCGCTGCCGGAGATGGCGCCGGAGATGACGATGATAAGGGGCCCCTCCTTCTTAGCAGCAGCGACGAGCTCATCGACGGTCTTGACGGTAACGCTGGAACCGCCAGCACCACCGGTGGTACCGCCGCCTTGGGTGCAGTAGCCAATGTTGCACGCCTCGGCGGCCTGACGGAGAGCAAGTTCGTTGCGGGCGGTGACGATGTTGGCAGGCGAAGCCGCGGCCAGAGCGGCCATGAAGGTGACGGCGGAGAACTTCATGTTGACGGATCTGTAATAAGTAGGCTGGTTATGGAATTGATTTGGACGAAATAAGAGGTAAAGATCTTGAAGCGGGTGACTAGCACTACCGGAGTTGATGGAATGGGATGAACAGGAAAAAGAATGAAAGATTGAAAGGGCGCGATGAGGAGAAAGAAGAACCGTTGGTCCGACCCGTCGATGGCAGAGTCTTATATATGAACAATCTCTCGATCTTGGCTTCTGGTTTAGACTTAGGAAGATGGTGCCGTTGGTGGTTGTGGGAACTTGGAAGGAGGCCGGTCCAAGACTCCACGTTAACAAGTGCATTGCTGGGCGTTTCCAACTAAACACATCCGTTGCCTCCATCGAGGCCCTTGTTTATTTCGCCATCTGTGTAAGCCAGGATGATCTCACAAACATACCAGGGCAACGGAGAGACTGGACGAAAATTCCGTCGACAGAGACGTCTTCGTCAACGCATACGGCGAGAGGTGATTGACTTCTAACGAGACCGTTACACTGAGATGAACGGCACGAGTAAGGGAGACTCACGTCTTGGCCCGTCCCATGGCGACCAGGGTACCAGAACCAGATGACTCGGCGCAAATGTACTTCCTAAAAGGAACGCGAGAGAACGATTCCTGTGTGGTGTTGCCCGGCTTTTGGTATGGATAGGTTGGGTTGGGGGGTGCAGGGGTTGGAATAGGCTCATTCGGCTGTCACTGGCAGGGCCTAGCTGAACCCACCGGGGGCAGAAGAACGAACCAGTGCCGCCCCAGCTGGGCAGCCGTTCGCAGTAACGCTGAAGGTGTGACCCTGCGCTAGAACCGCACAGCTGCTATGTTTCGGATCAGCAGGATGAGTGGCTTTTGCGCGCGGCCCCCAAGAGATAGATGAACGCCAAGATGCTGTCTAAATGAACGAGGACTGGTCGTTGGAGGAATAACTCAAAGCAGAGCGTCGCCGTGCGCACAGCGGAAGCCGTCGCCTATCTGAGCAGACGCACTGCTGATCTGATGGGGGCATTGTCATGATGAGTGTGTGGGGATGACCCCTGGCTAGGTTGCTTGAGCCTTGAGGTGATCGGTTGTCAGTGAGTTAAGAATTGAGAGGCCGGCTCCCACTTCTTTACACCTTTTACCGCACATTAAAAGACCATCTCACGGCGAGTTCTCAACTACAGAACAACACAGACGCGAAACGAAACTCCTACAACTGACTTCCTTGTAACTTTTCGGCACTTTGCGATCACTTAGCAGCGAACTCTATAACTCTAAGACAGTATGCCCGTCATAATGAGAGAAGTGAGAGGGGTGGTGATTGACCTGTGCATCTACCCGCAACCTTGGCATGTTGCACTATTGAAAAGGGGGATTAGCTGCCAAGACTGCGACTATTGGCATTCTGCACTGCCAAACTTTGCTTTCCAATCATCGTGCGGTCCAACTGCCCACTCCACCATTTTCTTACTTCTGACCAAGCACGAGGATAAAAGACAATGACGGCCAGTCCTCTTGTTCTGCCTGCTTAAGGCGGGTTCCGTGACCTCCTCCTCAACTCTCAGTGTTGGATTCACAGGTGGAAAAGGAATACTCGAGTATCGTGGGTAGCAACGATCACCGACTGTAGTGGTGATATTGCTTGTTCTTGTTGTTCTTTTGTGGAAGTCTAACCAGGTGCCAGCGGCGGCAGGAAGTCTGGGGTATACCACCCTCGTGTGGCTGAGCCACACGGACCACCGTGGCTGGAACGGACCGCGGCAGCAACCTCCTGCTGCCTAATGTATGCCTATTCCAACACTCAGGCTATCACCGCTGTTAGTGTCACCATTCCAACTGAGTCGCTGGCGCCAAGACGTTTATATCGATTCAACCTTGGCATTCTACAACGCAGGAGATTGGGACCTGAACATCAAACGGCTCGTATTCGATCAACAGAAACCCACAAACAAGGGGAAAACGCCTGGATCTCGAGGGAAAGGAGAGAGCAAAATCCGCGAAGACGAGGATTCGACGAGTAACACAACGCAGGCGAATTTGCAAGCAGAGCCTTGCGAGCGATCGCAGCGGGACACAATGGAGGCCATTTGCGATCTCTGGTTTACGCACCCCGACTGGCCCGGCGGACCAGCCCTCACTCCAGACATTCCCCAAGTCTGCAGGGTTGTACATGCCTTCTGCAGCTACCATTGCCAAATGGGCCAGCAAGCGTAGTACCGCCAGTTCATCTTGGGACTCATTGAGCCTAGCGACGGTTTCCCGAATCCTTCAGAACGCCGAGCGGTGGTTGCATCTTGCCGAACCCTTCAGATCGCCCGGGCTGAGTAGCGATCTTCGCTGTCGACTTATTTTGCACGAATGAGACTGTTTCCACCGTCTCCGAGCGACCATACGGAAAAGCCACCGGAATAGCTTGAAGAAGAAGGTGGGTTAATCAATGCCAACATTACACCCATCTCAATATTCCACTCTGATGTAAGCGATCCCCGGCTGGCTTTAACTTGCTGCGTTAATTCGATTCAGGGACAGTCTCCACGTCTATCGACCATGAAAGGATGATCTCGGACGAAGGTCAAGACCACCAATTACGACCGCATTGCCTTGCCCCATAGTCTCGACTTGCGTCTTTGGGGACATCAGATGATTACCAGGAAAGAAGAAAATGCTTGGCTCAACTACATACCATGAGCTTTGAGTCAGTTGCCAGTCTTGTACCTGACCAATTGAGCAGATTCTCGGTCACATCTAGTTTGCCAAAAATAATTTCTCCGTTGGCGAGAGCTTTGTGCAGAGAGATGTGTCGTACTCCTCGGCCCATCTCTTGCCATTGATAGTATCTCATGGTCTGGTTCAGCCCCCGTCATATTTCTCTCTACGTGTCTTCTTCAACTGTTGGTATGGAAGGAACGCGAGTTTAACTGATGTTTGCACCAGTATTGAAGGTCGCGCGGGTTGATCTGGACCAGTATTCATGATGCTTGCCGCAACCTTGAGATCTTACAGACTGGAACCACAACGGGCCTGGGATCTAACGATGCCATTTTCATGCAGATGTTCCTTCATACTTGACTTGAACATCGACCTAGCTGTTTCGGTAGAGTTTTGCTAATAACTCCAGTCTCATTGGCCTAGTAACTTCCGGAGATCTTGTCTCAAACTCAGTCATCCACCGGTCTTCAATTGGCGATCGGCCCAATTCCCCCACCCCAAGAATAGGTGAATGCTCTCAACCCACAAAGATTTGACGTCATAGCTCGGGTTCTTGGCGATAATTCATACTGGCAGCATACATATGGGCAGCTTGACGGGAATGAAGTCATCCTGTGCTGACCAGTTCCATCGTCAGGTATTACGGGGTACGAAGGCCTCGGCCGGTCACAATCAGTGGCGCACCCTTCAATTAATACCCTTACAGTCGCCCTCATCACTTGGAACACTCCGCTTGGAGGGAGAAGCGGTGAATAAGCATTCACGATCTGAATGTCTGGTCATGGGAAACCCAGAAGCAAATCACTGGAGCAGGAACGGTCGAATTCGGTAAATATATCCCATGTTATCTGGATGCACCGCTCTCCTAATTACCATTGACTGCAGCCAGTATCCAACAAGCATACCGTAAAGTATACCATTGAGCGAGTGTTTAACCGAACCAGGTGGCCGAGCTAAGCCTTGTCCTGTCTCGACCTGGATGTCGGGAGTAAGCGTGTGGCCTTGCGCGTCGCAAAGGCAAAGGTCCAAGCTTTTGCGTCCCCAGTAGATATTTAACCTGTTGGATACTGTCACGAGTTATGGCACGCAGCAATGGGCATATGAAGTGTGGTAAAAGTGGCTTGTATTAACCCAAATAGAATCGAGCAAGGAAAGGTGCTATCCCATTGACTGCTGCTTAACGTCAGCGGAGCCCTTGTGCGGGGTACAGCCAATAAGGGCATACAGGCTCATCTGTGTCAGCCAATAATTAGGCACGTTTTAAGGTACTTATATTGTCTATATATTTAGGTTATACCAAAGGTACCAGCAATCTTGGTCGGTACATAACGATATATCGTAATCTAAGAAGCCTTTTCGAGTATACCTTCGTAGCTTTCTAAGGTTATTACTAGATATCTCGCCTAGAGCCTGGCGGGATCGTAAGGCTGTTATATTGCTACAATAGGAGCAAGGCGAACAGGACTTTCTCGATCCCTTGCGATGGTGCTGCCAAGGAATAGTGGTATTCTTTTTATCTCTTGTTTGCTTAGGTCGTGATCTTTGCCGACCCCCTGCTAATGGTCTAAACTGCTGGATAAGCTGGGCTGTAAGCAGTTGCCGCTATTGATACTACTTTTTAATAGATCTGTCGTGATGGCTTCAACCATCTGTGGCCTCACTACCCGTCACGTGACCTCGGTTACATAATCACCGAGGCCCACACTCGCTCGCATCACCTATTTCAGAGCAAGCCTCTTACCTATTCTCTACTTTCAATGGATAACCGTTCTCTATCAAACATCTCGATGCCCACATTGTGACCATACGACAGTTATGAGCCCAGCTCTAACTTAGACCCTGAACTACTGTTATAAAGGCACTTTCTACGGACTGCGATTTATCGCATCCTTTCTCATACCTCATTACAAACCCCCAACACGTCTATGGATCGCTCTTAGACACGACATGTCGTCCGAGAAGATTTCCGACGCTACAAAGCGCAAGCTTAACCACCGGCGAGACTGGCCAAAGTGGTACCTCGCTCTCCGAGTTGAGGCACGATCGAAGGCCGTCTGGGAACTACTTGACCCAGACGCAGACGACAAGAAGTCACCTTCAGACCCGTCCAAGTTCATTGATGCCATACCCTCGGTCGACGACTACGTCAAAAAGCGAAATACCGCTCAAGACCTTGCCTACAACGAGGCTCTAACAGACTACAAACGAAGACTTGAAGAGTACGCGCAGCAACAGGCACAGGCAGACGCTCCAGACGACCCGGACGATCCCCAGGAGCCAGAAGAAGAGGTTGAAAACGAGCCCATCGAACAACCGACGATTCCAACGAAGCCAAAGGTCGTTACAGCCCACCAAGCACGACTCGTTGAGGAATACACGGGCTACATCCAGCAACTGGTTTCAAAGACGGTCTCCCGCACACGAAAGGAGAGGTCCTATGAGTCCATGGACAAGTGGATGTCTGACACTGTCGCTCCGGAAATCCTCGAGAACGCGAAGGAAGAACTTATCGATACCGATGACTGCTCCCTTCGTGCGATTATCCGTGTTCTCAAACGAAAGTACGCCCCAAGCGACTCAAGCTCGCTCACAATCGCCCGAGAAGAATTCACCGCGGTCATGAGCAGAGCGAATTCCAACGTCAATCCCTCCACCTGGATCAAGGACTTCAACTCTGTCTACCGTCGGGCAGTCCAGCTGAACCTGCCCGAAGTACAAGGTACCCTGGCTTCCAAAGCCTTTCTCTATGCGACCGCGCGTCGCTTCGCCCCAGCCTGGTCCAACCAGGAGCTCACTGATATCGTTAAAATGGAGCGAAAAGGAGAGACAGTGCCGGATATGGGGCAATACGCAGAGATTTTCGACGATCTTCTGCACGAAGAAGCGATCTACGGCCGAAGTCGTAGCCGCAACCCTAAATTGCCCTTGTGAGGGGCCCCACAGCTGGAACACAATCGACTGCGCACGAGTGGAGCTCGCCCTGACTGGGAAGACGAAGTGGGAATACGTGAAGCTAGACGAAGCCGAAGCCAAGAAGTCACTATTCGCTCATCAATGTGATCCATGACCGTACCCAACATACATCTCGCTCCTCATACCAAATGAGAGGCGACCGTACGGACTCAGCCTGGCTCTGGCACCTACGATCTGGTCATCTCGCGCCCGAAGCACTCGAGAAGCTCGTGCTGGCCGCTCGGGGGGTGAGGATCAAGGGTCCCAGTCGCTTAGAGTGTCAATTCTGTGCGACAACGCACGCCAAGCAGGTCATTTCTAGACGAACCTCGGAGCGAAGAGCAAACCGACCTTATTATAGGATCTCGTGGGATCTCTTTGATTACCCTGTGGCGTACGACAAAAGCAAGTGGCTGATGCTGATCAAGGATGAGTACTCGGGCAGGATCTTCGTTTTCCCACGGGTCACGAAGACCCATGATATGGTATTCAAGGTACTCTACCTATTCGAGCGCTGGGTACGAACTCAGAAAGGCCTGGCCATCTGCAAGATTCGTCAAGACGTAGAACGCGCAGTAATCGCCATACAAGGCGAGACTCGCTACCAGACCTGGGTAAAGGAGCTAGGAATCGAATTAGAAACCACTCCCCCGTACACGAAGGAGCCAAACGGAGGTGGAGAGCGAGCCGGCCAGGAAATCATTAACAAGGCAATAAGCATGATGACCGCAGCCGGCCTCCCAACCGAACTCTGGGTAGAAGCTGTCTTAGCAGCGACTCACCTGTACGATATCAGCCCAAGGAAACGAACGAACTGGCTCTCGCCAGTGCAGACCGAGGAGGTCTGGTTCAGCCACTACTTTCGGTGGTGGCAACCGACCAATACGCCCAAGCTCGCCCGCGATCTACGTCCCCATTGGGGGTGGACGTACGCATATGGGTGCCGGGCGTACCCTCTCAAGAGGGACCGTGAGAAAGGAATCGACAAGAGACGCTTCAAGGTGGAGCAGAGGGGTCATATCGGATACCTGGTGGGATACGTGACGAACGCCCACAACCTATACAGGATCTGGATACCCTCGCTTTCAGAAGTCATAATCACGCGAAACGTGACGTTCGACGAGACCATTTTCTACTCGAAGAACGATGCGAAATCAGCCCTTCCAACGCCCGAAGCCAGAGTCGTGGCGGATGAGATACAACAGCCGCTCACAACGATCGATCCTGAGCTACAAGTGCTTGGAATCGTGACCGAGGAAGAGGCTGCCGTGATCACTGACAACGAGCATCCATCACCACCTACACTCGCTCCACAGGGTGCTGCCCAGACCGTGGAAAAGTCAAGCATGCTCTCGAGTGGACGAGGAGGGTGGCTGCTCACCCCCGAGCAGACTCCTGACCCTCAAGGTCAGGAATCCAGCACGAACCTCGCACAGCTGACAAAGGTTGAAAGCGAGGCCGTAGGGGAAGTCGACTATCTTGCTGAGAGAGTCGAAGACGTGATATACGTACAGACAGAAGAGTCCCTTCCTACGTACTCCCACGAGGAAGAGCCTTCTGCCCGACTGGACCCCGATGATCCGCCCCAACCGACGAGCCCACGTCGAGAAGTTGAGGAGGTGAACGACCCAGCCGGAGATTCCGAAGCGACCGACTCCAATGGTCGTGAGGATGATGGGCCAACTAGACGAAGCAGGAGGCTAAGGAACCAGTCGCCAGACTTCGTCGACCAAGACCCGAGTCGAGGGGAGCGATTCGGGCAGTACTCCTTCTTTCTCCATACAGAGAGAAACTGGGACGCCTTTTTCAATACGTATATGCCTGATCAGCAGAAAGCGATTATTGAAGCGACCCAGGGGCACAGGACGCTCCATTCGTGCGTCCATGCCGCAATCGCCGGAGTGAAGCACACTCCGCCGACCGAACTCCGGAACGATCGGATACATGCGGACTTCCTCATCGCACCTCCAAAGACGTGGAAGGACGTCCTCAAGATGCCCGAACCCCTCAGAACTCAATTCATAGAGGCTGCTCGGGCAGAGATCAAGAAACTGGAGGAAATGAACACCTGGAAAGTCATTAACAGAGCGACAATCGACACCAAACCGATACCGCTCAAATGGGTATTCAGCTATAAGTTCGATGAGGATTATTACCTTGATCGCTGCAAAGCGAGAATCTGCGTTAGAGGGGACCTTCAAGAGCGACACCCTCTAGAAAAGACGTACGCAGCCACCCTTGCCGCCCGAACCTTCAGAGTCGGCATGGCTATCGCCGCTCAATTTGACCTTGAAGTCCGCCAGTACGACGTCGTGAATGCATTTCTGAACGCAACTCGTAAGCCAGGCGACCCTCCCATTATCTGCGAGCTCCCCCAGGGCTTTCGACGGCCAGGAATGTGCGTTGAACTCGAACGAGCCCTATACGGCGCTCGTGACGCGCCATTACTCTGGTACGAAGAGCTCGCATCGACCCTTAAGGCCCTTGGTCTCTTGCCCACAAGCGAGGACCCGTGCCTCTTCCAGACCACCGACAAGAAGGTCCTGGTCCTCTTTTACGTGGACGATATCCTCGTCCTTTATCACAAGGACCACGCTTCTGAAGCCAGTCGGGTAACCGAGGGACTGAAGAAGAAGTACGAGATGAAGGACCAAGGACCAGTCTCATGGTATCTCGGTATCAGGGTCGTTCGTGATAGGCCCAACCGCAAGATCTACCTCGTCCACGACCAATATATCGAGAGAATGGCCAAGAAGTTCGATCTTGTCGATGCTAGAGCCCCAGTAACGCCACTACCGACCGTTCCGATCGAAAAGAACCCAGGAACCGCGTCGGCAGCCGACACCAAGTCGTTCCAGGAGAAGATAGGGTCGATATTATATACGGCAATTATGATTCGGCCCGACGTCGCTTTCGCATGCGCTTTACTGTCGCGGTTCCTAACGAACCCGTCTAGTCAGCATCATTCCATGGCAGACCAAGTGATACGATACCTCTATCATACACGACACCTTGCGATTTGCTACGGCATCTCGGGGGGTGGGCAGGCCCTGCTCATTGCAGGCGACGCCTCGTTCGCAGACGACGATGAGACACGTAGATCATCACAAGGATATATCATCTCCCTTTTTGGCGGACTCGTCCAGTGGAAGGCAGCTCGCCAGAACACCGTAACGACGTCGACAACTGAAGCCGAACTGCTCAGCCTGGAACACACAGCGAAAGAGACCATCGCTCTCAAACGCCTATTCAGAGATATCTCGCTTGAGCTCGGCGACGTCTGGAGGGTACACTGCGATAATCGTCAGACAATTAGACTTGTAGTAGAGGAAGGGGAACGTATCTCAACTCGCCTTCGCCACGTCGATATCCAGAACATGTGGCTACGTCAAGAGCACTCAAAAGGCTCATTCCAAGTGGTCTATATGACGACAAACGACATGCCAGCCGACGGTCTTACCAAGAACCTCTCGCGAGCAAAGTTCGAGCACTTTATATCGCTCCTAAACATGAGAGATATACGAGAAATGGTCACACGGAACGAGGGGATAAGTATGCGGGAGCAGAACGCCCCGGAGCCCCGGGTTTTCAATTAAAAACGTGGCCCACGGCCAAGGAGCATGAAGTCGCTCCGGCGACCCCGTCGGGTCGCCCAAAAAAGAGGCTATTTGCCTGAGAGAGCAGACGCGTAGCGATCCAGAAGATCAACTAACGCGGGGCGCACGTTCGCAGGAACGTGGACACCAATGAAGGCGTCGAGTCCGATCCGGATACCGTCTGCCTTCGCAAGCGAAGCAGCCGACACCTTCACGTCCTCAACTGGCTCTTTGGACGAAGCTTCCAGCACAAAGAGAGCCCCCATAGACGCCTCTCTCACCAAAGCCTCGTCTATACGAGCCCCTTCACCTCCACCCTCACCCATGAGGCCGTCGCTCTCAAGGGCCTCACGCAAGGCTGCGGTTACGCGAGTCAGGTCCTGGGAAGCTATCAGCGATAATCGAAAGCGAGACACGCATAGAATACTCACTTTCACCGGCGTCACCGGGGTCTCCTTGCTCGCCCGCTTGAGGCGCAGGAACTTCTCACCGAGCTCACGTGTACGCCCCTTGGGAATAGGAGCGCAGCCAGACTTCTTATTACGCTGGCAGAGGGCACACTTCCGCCCTCCACGCGAGCCCGGGAGGCACCAGCCCTCCGAACGGCCGCTAAGGGCGCTTTTGATACACCCAAGACAAGCAGAACCGAACGGAGGCGGCACCCGCTCGAGAAGCTCCTCGGCACCAGGTGTGCCGGGAGGGTACGCTGGTGAGAATTAGTATTGTGAACGACAAGGCAAACAAGGACTCAGAACTCACGGGGAACCACTCCGCGCCCGCCAGCAGGGAGCGAGGGAGGGGGCTGTGAACCACCCTCACCTCCACCCGCCTCCTGGGTATCTCCTTCGGCCAAAAGGCCGTCACCGCCTATAAAGCACGACGAAAGTATTAATTCCAAACAACGATACCGTGCTGCCGACTATGTCCGGGAGCGAGGAAGATACCACGTACCCGAAGCGGGATTCTCGTCAGGATTGGGGGAGCCGCCGCTCTCCCCCAGAGTCTTGAGGCGCTTGGCCTCACGCGCTGCGGCGGTGCGAGCGCGCTTTTCAGCCCGGGTCATTCTAGGCGGCATCTATACACGACATCGTTAGTTAAAATCCTCATTCCTGACGACGCGTACGCTTGCGAACGCGGGCGTAAAAGGCGAGAAAGGTGAGGGTATATACGTACGGTGGTATGGTGTGACTGCGTTGTAGAGGGAGGAAAAGTCAGAGCCGTGGGCGGTCGAGAGGAATCAACTTGGGCAGCGACCGCCTCAGACCGACGGTCGATTATTCGGCCAACGAGAGGCCTCCATTCCGACCTACCTCCCGTTAATGAAGGACCTCGAGATCACCCATGGCAACGCACTCAGAGGCTGACCGACTACCCATTTTCCTACGTCTACAACTCAGCGCGCAAAGCGATTTATTTTGTACTTCCTTTTGTAAATGGATTTCTGTACGGTAATAGTTAGAGTTCTGCATTCAGCAGCGCTATTTCCAACGATGCGGGTGGTTCGGCGCGCTTTTCCAGACGAAGACGCGTCTGGGGGGGGTGTGTCGTGATGGCTTCAACCATCTGTGGCCTCACTACCCGTCACGTGACCTCGGTTACATAATCACCGAGGCCCACACTCGCTCGCATCACCTATTTCAGAGCAAGCCTCTTACCTATTCTCTACTTTCAATGGATAACCGTTCTCTATCAAACATCTCGATGCCCACATTGTGACCATACGACAAGATCGCTAACTAGGCTTGCCCTAGAGCTACAGTAAATAGCTATTCACAACGATCACTTCTAATAGAAAGTCCCAAGCAATTGCCTGCCAGCCCCCTCGCCGGATAGGGTGGCCCCATTGATAATAGGACCTCATCTAGTCACTAATATTAACGCCGTTCATCTTATAATTATACTCGTCTATTAGTGCCGTGTTACGACCCAACATGCATGACCAAGAACAAGGCCTGCCCCGCAGGCTCGCGGCGGCTACAGCGCACCATGTATGCAGAGGACAAGTTGATGATGATGATGATGTATTTAACGTCTGGTAACAAAAGGACGTGCCGGGCGCTATGCCGATCTAACGGTAAAAAACATCCAGGGAGGCTTCAGAGGGGCCGGGCTTGTTCCTTTGAGTGCCGAAAGTGTACTTTCGAAGCTTGATGTCAAGTTACACACTCCAACACCCCCAGGGTCCCTACCAACAACACCCCCCGCGTGGACTTCTCAGACGCCAAATAACCCAACAAAGGCCTCTTCTCAGTCCGAACTCATCAAAATGAGGATCTCCCGCTATCAAAATAGCTCCCAAACTTCAATTATTAAAGCTATACAGCATTTATTAAAGGGAGCGCGGGGATTTATACACTAGATTACCTTATTAAGGTCAGAGGTCTATATCCTCCGGGAGGAAAATAACCTACTTAGCCGACGCAGGAGGGCTAAGAAAACACGTCTCAGATAAGGAGGAAGTCTTACTGTAGCTAAGGCAGAGGACATTCAATCGCAGAGAGAGGCTACGGCCCAGATTAAGGAGGAAACGCGCCAGAGTAGTGGTCATCGGCCGAGGACAGAAACAGGTCAACGGCGATATGGCGTCTGCGGAAACACTGGCCACAATGCGCGAACATATCAGTTTAATGAAGAAATATCTGAGGAATAGGATTCAGAGTAGTTTCAATTGATTTTATGTTTTTAGTGTTGCTCCTTATTTAGATTTATAATGTGATCATGGTTAGGTGGGCAGCTCGCTTGTCTGGGCAGCTCGCTTATCAAGTACGTTAGTTTTTATAACACTATACCTTCCCATCTAAAGTAGGAATATAATATATCTTACCCCAAGGGATATCTTGTCCTTCAGTTACTTTCTCGGCAACAAGGATCTTATCTATCCCGCTATCTTTCCGGCAAGTGCCAGAAGCTCCGACTTGCTACTTCCGGAGAGCCCGGAAGAGCCGGACAGAAGAAAAGAGGTTATCTAAAAAGACGTGGTAGATTGTTGCCGGAAGCAGGGTAACTAGGGTCGTTACAACCCGTTGCGTTGGCGTTAAAAGGGCCTGCTTTGCCGCCTCGTCATCCGGCGCTGGCCGGGCCTGTGGGACTAGCCCGTACGGGCCCTTTCCGTGGATATGCCAGAGCCACCGGAGACAGTAGCCTGATTGGGCAAGAATCCATATCTTGAAGCCGGTCGGGATCGGCTTAGTCGGGATTGTTGTTGTCTCAAGGGACCGGCCTGTGAATCGGACCATAGCCTCGTCAACAGTAAGGTCAAAGCCGGCCATATAGAAGGAGTCCCCGGTATCCTGGATATAGTGTTACGGCCAGCTAGTCGTAGGGGTAGTTTGCAGAAGTTGAGGCTGCGGAACTGGTAACAGTATTCGTAGTCGGGGATAGCTTCAGGGAAGCTATGTCTGTCAATCGTAAGGGTAGGTAAGGCTTCGGTGATCAATCGTAGTCTTGTCAAGGTGATAGCTGAAAGCGGATGTTAATCCTGATACGAAGTTAATTGCTGAAGAAGCTATGGAAAGTCTGTCCTAGAGCCCAGCTCGAGTCCATCCTTATATACAAGTCCGATCCTAACTGAACAGTGCTGAACAGTCCCCTTTGTCTGGATATGTCGCATATCCAACATATCCTTATCCCTTATCATATCTCTTATCATCACGTGACCTGTACCATAGTTCTTCCGTTCCTGGGGTTTCCCCAATGTTCCGTCCCGTCCTGCATATATGATGCGCCGTAGCCGCTAGGCGTCAGCGGGGCACGCCCTGGTCTCATGTTAGGTCGTAACATATAGGCCGACCACCCGTTAACCTTCCTATACATATCCGGCATTGGATTATCCTAGGGCCGGCGTCGGCACCGGCCATAGCTAGACTGACTAGGGAACTCAGAGGTATCGAATATCCGCAGCTACCGGGATAGTCTTTAGTAACGGTCACGGGATATAAACCGGGTAAATAGATAAATAGGGTCCTCTTTCTCTTACTGAGTTGCCCAGTATCTTGATAATTCATATTCCTTATGGATTCCTATATAAATACGGATTCCTAAGAAGAGGTATACCTCTTTTATAGAAGTCTTTTTCCACTTATACACTCTTGAGTGTCTAGGCTGAGGGCCCTCCTTAGAAATCGGCGCTGCATTTGTCCACCGGACCCACTGCTCAACAAGGCTCCGGGGAACGTATCGGAGGAAAAGGTTAATCGGCGTTTCCGGTAGGTCCTGTATCTGCTGGTCCCGGGCCGGTATATCAAAGGGTATAAAGGAGCCGGGCAAGCCAGGCTCAGCCGGAGGCTCATGGGGCCGGACTGTGCTATTATCGCACTTCTCCGGGGTACAGTCGGCAGTACAGCCGACTTCAAGGTCTTCGGGAAGGAGCTCAACAAATATACAGCTCCGAACAGAGGTATCGGTAGCTACAGAGGCATCGGAAGCATCAGAATCACTAGAAGACATCGTAACATTGGTTGAAATGATGGTTTTGGTAGTGATAGAAGTCAAAAAAACTGTCACGTAACAGGGATAGTAACCGCATCTCACGAAGCGCCCGTCACGTGCTGTATCACGTGTATATCACATACATCCTGTATATAGACCTTTCTCTTTTGTCTATTTCCACTTTGATAGGTTAAGCCACTTTACCACACTCCGTATGCCCATTGCTGTGTGCCATAACTCGTGACAAAAACATAGGGGTAAATGATGTTTCGTCTTGTACCGATTGAAGTGCGGGGTAACAGCGGGTATTAATATGGGTCAGGCTCCGCTGACGTTAAGCAGTAGTCAATGGGATAGGAACAAATGAGAGAATCACGTGATAATGCACGTGATGGGCTGATTACAGAGTGCTGATGCTATTCCTATTTCGTGACAGATACCTCTGCGGGGAGAGGCCAGTGTCTCCCGATCAGCTGCACTGAGATATCATACCTACCCACCCTTCAATGCCAAGTGTTTGTGGCATTTCCCTCGCAACACAGTCTACCCGAGTCCCTCTGAAACTATCGGACCGGGAATCTTGAAGAGTGAGAAGCAAGTAATTGCAATCGTTCTCTGACGTATCTGCTCCCTTTGTGCCGGGCCACAAAGTATCGTAATTTATGGTATCTGAGGTTATCAGGGTCTCTAGCGTCGGTGATGCTTTTAGTAGATAACGTAGGGAGCGGATGATATAAAATGCGGGGTCGGTCCGGCGCCGGTCACGGGCTCACGGCTTGAATCAGCATTCTTATCTTCCCCTCACGTCGCCGCCGGCATGTCATGACGAGGGAAAGATAAGAATGCTGCTGACAGCTCGTTTTTAATGACACCACGGCGAATTTCCTCTGCATTGCAACTCTCAAGTCTTTCTATCTTCGTCTGAGAAGGAACAGCTATAGCGGCTCAATTTACCCTGACTCTGACACTTCCCAACCCACCATGTCTGATATCAAGAAGTACCAGCTTGGAGACTTCACTCTTCAAAACGGTGGCACATTACCTGGAGCGTGGATTGCTTATAAGACATTCGGCGACTCTTCCCTTCCAGCGGTTGTCTATCCCACTTGGTACTCAGGTGCTATCGCAGATAATGGATGGCTCGTTGGGGACGACAAAACCTTGAACCCATCAAACTATTTCATCATCATTCCAGCCCTCTTCGGCAACGGACAGTCCATCAGCCCATCCAACTCAGATATCAATCCATTTCCCGACGTGTCCTTTTTCGATAATGTGAAGGCTCAATACGAATTGGTCACCAAGGAACTTGAGATCACCCATCTTAGAGCCGTCCTAGGATGGTCCATGGGCGCAGCTCAATCTTTCCAATGGGCGACGCAATATCCCGACTTCTTGGACATTGCAGTGCCATTTTGTGGCGCCGCGAAGTGCGCCCTGCACAATCAAGTTTTCCTGGAAGGCATCAAATCGGCGCTTCTCGCAGCGAAGAAGACAAGCTCAGCCGGCAGCACGCTGGGACGCATTGCATCGGCCGAAGACAAGTCTGTCCGGATCTGGTCAGACGAGGAGAAGCAAGTTGGTCTGAAGGCTTTCGGCCGTGGATATGCGGGATGGGGATTTTCACAAGCATTTTACCGACATGAGCTACACAAGAAGTTTTACGGAGCCAAGGATCTCGAAGACTTCATGCAGACATTTTGGGAGAAGTGGGCTCTTAGCAAGGACCCGGAGAATTTGCTTGTCATGATTCACACGTGGCAGAGTGCCGATGTGAGCAACCAAGAGCCATACAATGGCGACTTCAAGAAGGCCATGGCGAGCATCAAGGCCAAGACATTGGTGCTGCCCTCCAAGACTGACCTCTACTTCCCGTAAGAATCTCTTATCGAACTTTGGAAAACCTAATGCTGACAGTTACAGGCCCGAGGACTCCGAGTACGAGGTCGAGTGTATGAGCGAAGGTGTTGGCGAATTGGCTGTCTACCCCTCCATTTGGGGCCATTGGGCTGGAGGTCCCCCAGGGAACTTTGAAGATGCCAAATGGCTAGACGACAAGTTGAAGAGCATCTTCGCTACAGCACCAAAGAGGGGGTGAAGACGTTTGGAAGTTGCAGACGAAGTAGGCACGACGTTGCGCCATGGTCTATGTGTTCTCTTTGCCAGCAGCAATAATTGTCTTGTGCAATCAAGGAAGGAATGAGACAATTAACTCTCAACAAATCTTATGGCTTCGTGCACATCAAATTCTTTTCTGCTGGGACACAAAAAAGAAAAGGATGCTGCTCGAAGCACTTAGAAGACTTACAAAGTTAAGATCTCTACACAATCGGACCTTTCTGCTATTCTTTCCTCATTTCAACTTCCCTCTCGCCTAATTTTTCTTGGCATCTACTGTTAGTGTAATAAGTGGGCTACCACCAAAATCCTTAACAGCTGAAAACCCTTCACCTCTCCTCCGGCGCTCTCCCGCGATGGCCTCGCAGCCTCCGGCGGGCTCTGGACCGTTGCCGGCCTCCTTGGCCGGCCCTGATCGAGGCTCTGGACCCTCTTCAGAGCCGCCCCCATCCTCAAGGACTAAACGCCGCCGCGAAACCGAGGCCCAGCCACTCCGGCCCAGCCTCGTGGGAAGCTAGCCCGACGCCCCAACAACAACCCCCTTAACGGCTAAGGGGCCCTCGACTATGACTGGGACAGCTACTGGAGCTGTCCTTACAGCTCTTAATGAAGAGGCTAAGCACTATGAAGCCCGAAAGGACGTCTTTATGGCTATTGCTCAGTCTGTGGACAACGTGATCTCCTGCTTTGAGGGGCCTAGGAAGCAGATTGCAAAAGAAGATACAATCTATGTAATCCAAGCCTTGAAGAGGATTATGGGTAACGAGACTACGGCTCCGGCTCCGAGCCGGAAATGGACTGACGTAGCAGCCTCGGCTTCGACTACAGCCGTGGGCGTAGCCCCGACACGTACCCGAATCCCCACCCGGCCCGAAGTCCAGACACAGAGTCTGACGGAGACCCGGGCCCAGGCTCTATCCCAACCGAAGGAGGACCTCCGGGTCTTTACCCGTATCCCAGAAGAGGGCCTAGCGGCTGCTAGGAAGCACGCCCCCTTCGCCCTACACCGGACAGTCTGCCAGGCCCTTAGGCTCCAGCTGGCAGATATCCCACACATCTACCATATTGCAACTGGCTACTCACTGAGACCCCTGAATAAGCAGGTCCAGCAAGCCCTCCTTGCAAACAAACAGAAACTAGCAGAGTGTCTTGGAGCCTATAAGGTTGAGACCCCTACTAAGTGGTTTACCTACGTCGTCCCACGTTGCCCTGCTAAGATGTGGACTCTTGATGGCGACGCCCTTGACCCAGCTACTCTGGTAGAAGATGAGGTCCTTGCCCAAACAGGACGTAAGCCTACCCGGCCCCAGCAGTCCCGGCTAGGTGTAAACCCTATTATAAACGAAGTCTCCTGGGTCATCTCCTTCTCTGTGGAAGTACCACCCTTCAGACTGTTTAACCAAAGCAGCAGGTCTCAGCTTATCCAAAAGAAGAAGACCCTAATCAGACATGATCCTGGATGCCAGGGATATCATTCGAACCGATACTGTCACCGACAGCCACTCTGTAGCAACTGTAGCAGGCCCTCGGGATCCCACGAGACTGGGCCCTGCATAGCTAGACCGAAGTGCGCCAACTGCTCCGGCCCCTTCCAAGCTAACCATAAGGACTGTCCAGCAAGGCCCCTAGTGGCTAATGGCTTCCCTACCCTCCCAGACCGGAAGGAACTCTCCCGGATCCGTAAGGCTGGTCAGAAGGCCTATGAGGCCCTCTATCAGAGCAGCCAGGCTGGCACCCAAGCCAGCAACACCTAGCAACCTAGCAACAGCCTAACGAGCCATCAGCCCGGCTCAAAGCGCCCACGCGCCCCTACCCCTACCCAGGACTCAATTGTTGTAGCGGACGTTAGTGATGCGGCTAGCTGTAGCAGCATGGATGAAGATGAGAATGGGGCTGAAGCAGAAGGGCTGCAAGCCCCTGACGACCCAGTCCTACCCCCCCTACCCAGCCAACCTACCCTAGCTACCTCAAGCAGCAGGGCTCAGCGGGTGGCGCAGAAGCCTGATTACAACGTTATTAATGCCTACACCCACCTCGACCTCGACTCAGAGCAGTAGGCTCAGGCCAGCCTCCCCACGGGTACTACGAGTCGCCCAGTGTAACGTGGGGAAGAGAAGCCCAGCTCATACAGCTCTCCTAGAGCTCTGCTGGGCGGATCAGATCGATATAGTACTGATCCAGGAGCCCTGGATAGGCTATAGAGATAAGATGCAAATCAACACACACCCAGGCTATAACTCCTATATCCCAGTTGACTTCTGGAACAACAGAGATACAAGACCTAGGGTTATGACCTATATACGCAAGAGTCTAAGGCTACAATTACAGCAACAAAGGCCTACCCAAACGAGCGATATCTTATGGGTTAAGGCTGGCAACTTCACTATTATCAACGTTTATAGGCCGCCAGGTGAGCCGACAAACCACACGACTACTGCTCTCCTAGGATACTATCCGCCAGAAAGAGCCCTTATAGCAGGGGACTTTAACGCCCGCCACCCTACCTGGGAACCAGGCTCCCCTAGCCGGAATCGGGGGGACGATATTGCAGAGTGGGCTGAAGGCTACGATCTTTCGTTTATTGGGGAGGTTGGGGTCCCTACCCATACTCATAGGCATACCCTCGACCTAACATTCTCAAATATCCCCTTTGCTGAGGCTTATATTAGCCCACACCTGCACCCAGGGGCTGACCACCAAGCTATCACAACAACTATCCCTATAGACAAGGCCCAGGAACAGAAACGCCAGACTGGCCACCTCTCAGTCCCAGAGTCAGCCCTACCCCGACTTATCGACCTAGTAAGTGCTGGATCCTCAGCCTTACCTACCCTAGGGGAAGTACCTAGTCCAGCAGAGCTGGACACTCTAGCTACCCAATTAGTCAGCCTCTTCTATACAGCTATTCAAGCTGTAGGTAAGAGACGGACAAATCAGGGTAGGGGAGCCCCCTGGTGGACAGAAGAGTGTGCAGAAGCCCGCCGAGCTGCTATCGAGGCTAGGCGCCAGCAGGCCCAGGAACCTGGGCTAGTTATACCTCCCCCCATCCTAGAGGAGCAAAAGATCTTCTTAACAACTGTTAGAAGGGCAAAACGCGCTTACTGAACTACTAAGATCGAAGGGGCTAAGACAGACCAAGACCTATATAAGATAGTAGGCTGGCGGAAGTCTAGCTTAGCTGTTAAAGGCCCGCCCCTTATAGTAGAAGGTCAGATATTCGACAACAGCTACGATAAAGCCCAGGCCCTACGAAAGGCCTTACTAGAGAGATTCAACGCTACACACGACTTACCTGGGGATCCTTTTACTATCCCAGTAGTTGCACAGCGTCTAATGCCCTGGCAGGATGTGGTTAGCATGGAAGAAGTACGCCATGCTACTCTGACAAAGACTACAACCCCTGGGATTGACGGGATTACTACAAATTTACTACAGCAGACCTGGGAATCAGTAGCTAGGCCTATACAGCAGCTCTTCCAGGCCTGTATTCAAGTAGGCCACTTCCCCAGACCGTTCCGTAAAGCAGAAGTTGTCATGACCCAGAAGCCAGGGAAAACAGACTTCTCGAAGACTGGGTCTTGGCGACCGATATCCCTTTTATCCTGCTTGGGTAAAGGCCTAGAGCGGCTAATAGCAAAAAGGATGGCCTACCTTACTATCCTAGAAGGGGTTGCTAGCCCGCAGCAGGTTGGAGCACTACCAGGGAGGGCTGCAGTCGACCTAACAGCCTGTCTGACCCACGAGATCGAGAGGGCTCTAGACTTAGGGCTCACTGCAACTCTTGTAACAATGGACGTTGTCGTGATGGCTTCAACCATCTGTGGCCTCACTACCCGTCACGTGACCTCGGTTACATAATCACCGAGGCCCACACTCGCTCGCATCACCTATTTCAGAGCAAGCCTCTTACCTATTTACGGCAGCCTGCAGGGACAACTCCGCCAAAACCCAGAAGGTGCTGCACATACCCCTCCTGCCGCAAAGGTAACTCCCGTATTAATACATACTACATCATAAATATTACTTAGACCTACTATTTTGATTCGCTGCAAATGGGGCAGGTGCCCCCGGTTATCTAGCCGGCCAGATCCCTGCGATATAATTGGCCCAATTCCTCCTTCACGTGATGTGACGTTGCACACCGCCTGACTAGTTCCGCTGCATCTAACGAAGGCTTCTGCTGGGCATTGCAATAGCCTTCTTTTCCCTACGCCTACTCAACTTTTTGTAAGTAACCCCAACTTTTGCCCAATAGATAATATAATCCATTCTATATGCCCTAAATCTAATACATTACATCTAATCCCCAGGCTAAGGCGATTCAGATGCTGCTCTTTTCCACGCGGGCGGTTGCATAGGCAGTTGCGCTGCTGCGCCTGCTAAGCTACTGCATCTTTTTTTTTTTCCAGACCTCAGCTGACTTCTGTGAATTTCAGGACACATCCATACGTATCCAGCAGTACGTAAACATAAGCGACAATTTCTTCACAAAAACATTCACTTTTTTCTACACATGCGCACGCTCTCGTACACCCGCACACAGCCCTGCACGTCACCATGAGCCTCATCCCCGAAGAGATCGGTAATGTACAATTGCCTAAGGGCAAGAAACTTCCTACTACGCTTCCAGCGTACCCTGCTGAGCCAAAGCAGGTCACTGCGTTCGCTCTTGCCAGTATGTAATAACATTCACGTATTACAGAACTGTACTCATATATACGACTAGTTGCAGTTAAGAACGCTGGTTCAGCTACCCTCACGCACCTAACCAAGAGCCAGTCCAAGGTACGTGATCCATATAACCCGTTCCAGGAGCTACACACTTTCTTACATAATATCTAGGCCAACAACATGGTCGAGCTTCGCTCCCAGATCAGCGACGGGGTCATGCGCTTCCGCAAGCTTGATCCCAAGCGTTCGCAGAACGCTGAGGCTATCCTCATTCATGTGTACGGAGACGTGAAGGAGGGTGCGGCTGTC